TTGAGCTAGACAAGATACTCAAAAAACGTATTCGATATCATAAATATCCCAAAGTAGAGTATTTGATTCAATGGAAAAGTTATCCATCGTATGAATCGACTAAGGAACCAGCTAAAAATTTAGCAAATGCACCTTTGATAATTCAGGAGTTTGAATGTATGTGCAGATCCATCTTTAGTTAGTTAAAACTAAAGTATAGGTTATTCTAAAGATTGATATAGATGCTCTAGTGTGCACTAGTCATAGCTGCCACATCAGCGATCCGCGCACTTGGTAGGTACAGAGTGGATGTGTTAGTTGGCAGTGCCACGTCAGCAATCCGTGTGCTTGTATGTAAGGATTGAGTGTGTTAGTTAGTGTGTTAGTTGGGAGCGCCACGTCAGCGATCCGTGTGCTTGTTAGGGTTATCCGCCACGTCATCCATCCACTATGAGTGGGATGGATGATGATGATAAGATCTTATCTCCTTGTACTTGTTGGTGGAAGCTATATAAGGGAGAGGAGAACCATTGTTGACATCTCTCATCTTCAGAGTTTACGTTTCTATCTTCAAGTGAGCTTCTCTCTAAACCCTAGTGTTACAGTTGCTCACAGAGGGTTGGAAGTGGAATAATGGTGTGTGAAGTCATGAAGTGTAATTCCTTGTGAATCCATGGTATCATTAAAAATGTCTCTATTGAATTGTAATGCAATGAGAAGTTTCTAAAATACATGTGGAGTCCATCCATTCAAACAAACATGGTTTCCGGCTGAAGTGTCTGATATTTTGCAATAACCTATCTCTTTGCTCTTAATTGATCTTAAATTGCAGATCACTCCCATGTGATAAAGGGGAGTTGGCCTGCCAATGACAGGCGAGTGTTCAATGCCGTGGTATATTGTGTACGCTCGTGGTATGCGACATGTGTCTTCGTGGGAGGGTTGGAAAACTGCACCTCACGTGTGAAACGCTTGCGCGGTTGTGCTCTTCGTCTGCCCGTTGCCTGGTTTTGACCCGCTTCTAGCTGTGCCCATTTAGTCCTCGCCTCCTCTGCTCCTTGTCTGATTTTGATTCTCTCTTGGCTGCACCCACTTGGTTCACAATACTTTGCTCGTACCCATACTCCCTACTAGCTCTCTCACTCGCTTTCTATTCTGCATCCAACAAAAATTACTGGTGCTAGGTGAAGAAGCATATTCCTCATGCTTCATTTCATGACTTCACTGCCTCTCCAAAGGTTGTGCACTCCTCTCATTTTGACCTGCTCATCCATCCATTTGGACTCATTGTTATTCATTCCTTCGGCTTCATTCATGTTCACTCTTTGCTTCACGCTTTGAAGTATGTTCGTCGTCATGGTCCACGAATTTTTCCTGCAGATTCCACCTTCATCAAAAGAATCAAAGAGAGGGAGCATTATTTCTCCGTACATCATCACCTCCCGTTGTTGTTGTTTTGGCTCCATACATTTGACGAATTTACTGTCCGTTCCAGCATCCATTCATCCGTCCGGCCAGCCATCCGCTTCCTTGGACTGTCATATTTGGTCTCCGAAGAGTCCCGGTCCCGAAGCTCTTTGTCACATTGCCTACAGCTTGCGAGTCACATCAATTAAAACTCGTGCATCGCCAATCCAACAAACTCTTGCGTTTCTAGCAACAGCTCTCCTCCAACCTCCGACTCTGGCAATCGATGAGATTTGTCGCCATACATTGAATACCGGATAAACAAGTGAATGTCGCTTGCAACAGTTTGCAACAACATATTGTGGAAAGAGGAATTAAGCTTCAATCTTGACAGGAAGTGAAGTCTTTTCATGTACTCTGTTCTGGATACAAAAAGCTACGGCCATCTCTCAAAGGGTCAAGTCAAAGACGAGCTCCCGTGGGATTGGAGTCCAGAAATGCAGTTGTATACATTGTGAAATCTGAGAGTTGGAAACTTTTTCTCTCACGAGTATAACATTTCAGCTATTTGATTATTATGTATCAGCCTTCACTACTTTGTAAACACGTCAATCTCAGTCAGAGATTTGGTTATGCTTCACATATTTCGCATGCAGCCATTTTTACTCCCTTGCCAAATAACTGCCTCTTGCAAATTTCTGAAGCTCTGGTCTGTTGCTAAGTTTCCACATTTTGGAAGTATTCAATACTGCATACAGTAGAAAAAAATGCTTCAAGGACATTCCAAAAAAAAGCCAGAATAGCAGACCTCCTCTACCCAATTAAACTTGCGTGGTACAAGATGAAGTATAAAACAGGTCTCTTTCAAAGATTCATTGTCCTGTAACCTTGGTGTTGCCATCGGAGAACATCTCAAGACGTCGTTGCCACTATGGAGTCTTTCTTAGGTGGAGGGAGCTTTGGAGGCTATGTCCATCATAGAAGCTTAGCTGCTGCGCTTGTTTCACGAGCATGGACCTGAAAGAACTTGGAAGTTGAACCTTCAAAATACTTTCAGTCACCGTCAAAATCCGAACCAGTCAAGATTCAACCGGACAAATTTGCTTGTCAGTCTAGTCATTTCGTTTTGATCAAACAAACTCAAAAACGTTACTTCGTCTCTTGACAATCTGCACAAGTTAAGACAAGCACACAGTCTTGGAGTCAGCTCAAAGTTAGAAACTCGAAACCACTATGAGTTTCAAAATCTATCTAATGATTCAATTGTTAGATTCGACCAAAAGATTTTTTCATTGATTTCAACCAAACGATGTGAATATGTTTCCAAGTAAAACTTGAAACAACTTGTCTACTTTCTTATTCCGTTCCAAAACAATCCTTTTCCATGATAGCACCAGAAACCTTAATTTTGACACACTATTCTCTACAATCTTTTAGATTTCTCTTCTTGTATTTCAAGGGGGAAAATTATACAAGAGCTAATCTGCACTCACACCCATAAACACTTTACTCCCGTTATGTTTGGCCACCTTCAACTTTGATGTGTCCTCACTGCCTATATGTATCTACTCACATTCATAGTCAGAACTACTAACTTTAACACACATTTATTGATTTAGGTTCCAAAATGAATTTATAGTGTTTGTGACCGCGTCAAGTTGTAAAGTTATAAAACCCATCAAAAGAAAGATGTCATTTAGTGGCAAGCAAGTGCAGGCTTTAGCCAATAAATTAGCGATGGAACAGTAATGGATAAATTGGAATCACCAAAATATATTGCTATAAAGTCGAAACGAATTGATGATTAAAAAAAAAACTATTAGGCTTAGATTCAGTAAATATGAACATTTTAATGTGTAGCCTTTCTACTCCTCAGCAAGTTGTATATAAGGTGATGCTATGCTTAACTTTACGAAAAACCAAATAAAACATTCATATGAACTAAAAACACAAAATTATATCCATGAGATAATATTATTATATACATTCTTAGATTTTTTTTATTAGGTAATAAAGAAATTCACAAAAATTGGATCAACTGAATAGTTATTGTATACTATATAGTTTAGACACTTTCTTTCATAATTTCATTAAAATGAAAATGTTTTGTCATCAATAGCTTTTGTAGCTTGGCCACAAAAGCTAATTAGCTTATTCTAGTTCTACTTACTACTTAGCTATTCACATAGCCTTAGAACTGCAATGAAGATTATGTCGATAAATATCTAAAAATTTATATTTTGGTCTTTGTTTCAACTAGCATTTATAGTGAATATCATTTCTAAAAAAAACCCCAAAAAAATTCATCAAAGCAAGTTCATGTAACACATAAATTTATCTAAAGAAATCCTAATTTTTTAATAAAAATCCTAATTTTTATATGATTCAATTTTTTTATGCTTCAAATTTTTTTATTTGGTTTTATATACTTTTTTATATACTTAATATATTTTTTAATCTCAATATAAATTCTCTAAAGACTAAAAAATTATTTTTTATCCTCATTTAATACTTGAGATGAAGTAACTCAAATGATATCTTCAGTTCACATAAATATATTTTTCTCAGATTTGTCTTTCTATGATGAATTTATAGAATCTATTGATTTCAAAGTTATATGTTTGTGACTATAGTGTTCAATTTAGCAATAGACTAAAGAATTTTTACAAAAACCTAGCATATTCTACAATATAAACAAATTTTTTTTGCTGTTGTCAATATATATTTAATTATTAATATTAAATTAATTTAAATGAAATATTTTAAAAAAAATTGAAATGCTTATCATTTCAAAGCTATGGAGTGAAAACATCATATTAATAATGTTCAACATCAATACTGAATTTAAACCAAGATAATTGAAATCTTTCAATATTTTTTTATGAATCTGGTTTATTTTCCCAAAAATCTAACTTCAAATTTATTTTAACAATATTTTGTACAATATATATATTCCATACGTGTGTGTATGGAATTTCACAAACTCTTTATGTAGTGATGTTTTCAGCAATGAAGATAAGTCAAAGGAAGCTCTTAATTACTTTATTTGAATATTTTCAATTTCAAGTGAACATGATATTGTACTCATTACGAATAAAAAGATTTTCAGAATTTCAGAAAATTAATTAATAATTTTATATTTAGCTAAATGTAGAATAACAAAGGAGATAAGAAACATTGTTTGATTATGGAAATAGAATCAAAGTTTTTTGTATATGAATAATTCTACAAAAGACCTAGTTTATTTTAATCATATGTGTACATTTTTCACAATTTTTATTCAATCAAACTTATTCAAAAGGTACAATGAAAAAAAAATCCTCCAAAATTAAGAAATAATTAAAATTGAAATGACAAATAAATAAATATTTTGATGCGTTTTCAAATTAAGTTGGATAAGAATACACCCAAATAACGGTCCAAATCTGCGCTCGCATGGGAATCATTGTTAGCAAATCCATGCCATAAATGGATTACGTTACAAATTGTACAATGTTCAAGATGCGACAGTTTGAAGTCGCTAGCGAAGGCAATCTGGTCTTTATTCACCACGTAGGGGAAATACGACGACGGCCCACGTATTCAAACCCAGAACACTGTTTGCGATGTGAATCGCGAATCGCTGGAGACAGAGAGAGAGAGAGAGAGAGGTTTTGACCTCCGTATATACTTCCCAGAGCAGCGCAAGGCTGCGCTATTCGATGTGAGTGAGGCTTTGATCGAGCGACAGACACTCTGAAAAGCAGAGCAATGGCACTGGTTGCAGCTGAAAGCACGATCGGAAGCCTGCTGCGACGGTTGGTGACGCCCGGAGCATGTTCTTCTCTTCGCATCAGCAACCCCCGTGCGTCCGGTCAGTCCACTGGCCCGCGGCTAGTTCATCGGTCTGGGCTTGCAGATGACGATCGGAAGCGAGTGATATGTGACTGCTAATGTTCCATTTACCTGTCGCGTGTCTCTACAGATGTTGCAGGCGGAGAAGCTGGAGGTTTTTCTTTGCTTCTGAGGCGGTGGGCCACCAAAAAAGCAGGAGGATCCACTCAAAATGGCCGTGATTCTTTGCCGAAGAATTTGGGAGTGAAGAAGTATGGAGGCCAGGTGTGTTATCTTCCCCTGTATCAGCGTCTCTTTTTTGTAGGGCTTTGTAAGGGTTTGTTCGCGATCCCCTAAGATTTGAATCGTGTACAATTGGCGTGCCCTCTGATTCCAAAGAGACTTCGAAGACTATACTCAAGAGCTGAATTTTTTCTGTATAGTACCGTTGTGAAAAGATGAAGGATGATTCAGAGCGGATACTTCCGATTGCTTCACTTCATGCTTGAACTGGAGATTTCTCAGCAGCTATGCAGAGTCGGTGACGGTAGTCTTTTTAGAATTTACCATTGAAGCGTGCGGTTGCTTTCGGTATAATTTTTAGGGATCGCGAGGTTCCTGTTCCTATGCTGGTCTCGACTTGCGATTTCTCTAAAAATGAGCTGATTGGCAACCTTAAGTTGTATTTTCGTAGAAAGAGTCTAGTCTTAAATTTTATCTGCCGACGGCCTTTCAAAAAATACTGAAAGTGTGGCTCCACCGGACTACGCTGTGTGAACAGGAAATATCAATGAATGAAAGATGCTGTAGATGTAAACATGTACGAGACGCCTACACTGAATTAGGCTTCTGCAGAGAACACGCATATTGGGATAACTTGTAGAGACAAGATTTCTAAGTTTGTGCTAAAGAACATGCATCAATAAAGCAGCCCATGAACATCCCCAGCTGAAATCGCCCAGCATTTTATATAACCACTGGCGGTTGAATGCAAATCACCCTTTTGTAGATGCCAGTTGCTTGCTTCATCATGAGGCCAACAGTTGCTAGTTTGTTTTCGGAATGGGTCGAATGAGTCTAATGAATGTAGCTGGTGGTTTGATTTGCAGAAAGTAATTCCTGGCAATATCATTGTTCGGCAGCGAGGCACGAGGTTCCATCCCGGTAACTTTGTGGATATGGGTAGAGATCATACGTTATTTGCGTTGGCTGCTGGACAGGTGCGCTTTGAGAAGAACAGTCATACCGGTCGCAAGTGGGTTCATGTGGATCCTGAAGGTGGTATGCCCATTCATCCGGTGTATCAAAATATGAAAACTGAGGCGAAGGAGACTGCAACTTTGGAGAATATGGCTGGATAGAAAGTAGAGTTGCATCTTGGTGGGTTGGACAATTTTGGACACGACTTCGTCATTCCCATGAGTGGCTAGTTGTGATGAGAGACATTAATTACAGTAGAAGCGGGTAGCGCATACATTCTTTGTACAGTTAGCTCAAATTGTCAAAGTCATCACCAGCAAGGTGAGTCACTTATGGGTTTGCAATATCTCCCTGTTATGGACCTTATGAAGTTGATGCTGACAACTAGTCATCTCGAGGTCAGTGTGGTAAAAATAATACCTGTGTGTGGAAATCCAGATATCCGTGTACTAATTTGGTACTTTTTATTCTCCAATTCAGTCGTGTGGCAGGCTGGTGTCATAACTGTGTGGATGCTTGCCGATGTCGGAGTGTGGTAGAGATCGTTACTATCATTATTTTGCACATTGATGTCATGTGCAAATTACATGTGTGTGAAACTCATGATAGCTTTTTTTTCTGATATCAAACTTTCAGACCTGGTATATTGGACCAGAACCTTATGCCCAAGGAGAGGTTCCGTCCTCAAAACCTCTTCCTGCTTCACCGTAAGGGTGCAATTACACTAAGGAGAGAAGTCGCAAGCAAAGAATAATGTATCGCTTTTGTCCTGCAATTACAGGTGTAGGTTGGTACAGTACTTGGATTCACTATGGCAGAGACATATTCAAAGTTGCAATGACGAATGATATACACTGAAGTCATGAAGTACCCAGAAAAACGTGCCGTCAAAATTATATAACTGTGGTCACCCGCACCAGCCATTTAAGGGCCAAATGTCCAATTTTCCATCAATGAAAGTCACTTATTGCTCAAACGTTGTGGTACATAAATGCGCCACTTCATTTAGCTACAAACTTCGTCCACGAATTTTATCGCCTTGAAACCCCGAATTTACGTCTAGATGGCAAAGGCTTGATAAGTTCTGCACCCAATTACTGCAATGAGAAGCCGTCGTCAATTTCAGCTTCAGTAACTACTGAAGCTGAAGTTTACTGACATGGAGCAACCGTGAAGTTCAGTAACGCGTGCCAAAATTTGGACAAGTTTGCTTCGCGAGCTGAGGAGAGAAACGGCAGCTTGGAGCGGGCGTTTCGGGCAGTGCTAGGAATACGTCGTTTAATCATACTACAGCTCTTTTCAGTCTACTTCAGATATGGACGATTGTTAGTGGCGGTCAGACTTGATTGCGGAAAGTCGACATTGCGGATACCAGCTTAGAAGGCGGCAGTACTGTTTTCATGCGATGCTTGTGTCTGGTACGTCCACTCTTTTATTTCAAGGACACGTAGTGCGGTCATAAATAATAGCTAATCACTAGGGACAAGTTTTTGTCAAGGAGTCACGTCAAGGGAGCAGAATCGTCGATAAAGTCCTCAAATCATTCTTTGCTGAGATTGAACCTTTGGTTGTGGACGAGAAATCGTTTTACTTACGTGGTTCGTTTGAACCACGTACCTGCGCATGAAGCAAAAAGCACGACAGCAGTTTGATTCAAGCTATAAGCTGCCCTTTGAAAGCTCGGTGATGGAGCGTGCTTGTTGGAGTTGGAATTCTTCGTCCAAACTGTTGTTTCAAATCGTCTCAAATTCTGAGTTCGATGGAAAAATGCTTCGATTACGCTGTTTGTGAGGAACGAACAAGGATGTTACAGACGAAGAAATTTGCTGAACTTTATACGAAGAAGTTTCCATCCCCCAACACTGCGTGCATATGGAAGGCGTTTGGTTAATGAAAGCTAATAAGCGCAATTTATTAGATTACATGCTGGAAAAGGAGAAGGTCCGTTGAGTCTCACAATACTTGAGGTCAAAATAGATTGTGATTGCTTCAGATGCCCAGCGAAAAGTGAGGGGTGGCTGAAACCCCGCTGAAACCCCGCTGAAACCATTAGACGATTTGCACCGAGAGTTTTTTTGACAACCAAATTCAAGGGTTTAGGGTTTACAGAACCAGGAACAAGTCGGGTTTAGTAAGCTGTACGGTGAAAATTGCTTCTGGCACATTGAAACAGTGTCTGAATCCTCCATTATGCTTGTGCCGCTCAATTCTCACCATCTCTCGTCTTATTCAGATGATTCTGATGTTTCAGCTTCAGAGGACACGATGGACCTTATAACGGAAATGGCTGCTTTGGGGCTGCCCACTTCTTTTCAGTCAAGGTCTGCAATTCAGGAGAAGGGCTCAAAAAGGCCCTCGGAATCCAGTATACTCAAGAGCGAATCGAAGGAAGCAGTAGAGGCAGAACCAGTGGCGCCCGTGCTCTTCTCCGTTCGCTCTGTACAACTGTTTTCCGCCAAGGAACATGGTCCAGAGGAAATCACCCTGGACCGATTGGAGGGGTTGGTATACGACTGTCAAGCAATGGAAGATGAAACTGTTCTTGCAGGTCCTGAGCACCGGATTTTGAATCATGACCAAGGTGATGGTCTGGATGGAGTCGAACTTGCATGCGAGTTTGAAGATAAGAGTGACAAGCAGATAAACCCGGAATCCCGAGGTGATGAAGTGGCGAGGTATGCAGCTGCGGTGTGGGAGCCCGTGTGGGATGAGCAATACCAGCGCTACTACTTTTGTAACACTCAGTCCTGGGAGTCGACTTGGGATCCTCCACCTGGTTTAGAGCACTTTGGTGTAGGTAGCATGGCTTGGAGTGAGTGCAACAGTGCTGATCAAAGTCAAGTCGCCCATCATTCTGAGACGAGTTGCGTGCTTCCTGCTTCAATTTTAACATTTGAGAGTAGCTGCGAAGCCTCGGGGACAGTAGACATGGATAAGAAATTATCGTCGGATGTGGATCAAGTTGAAGCAGATGACGTCCACGCACACGACACCTCAGCTGTCGTTCTTCAGGATGAGGATGTGATTGAGCCTGTTGGATGTGAGAAAGCAAGTGCCTTGGAGACAAGCTTTCGTAAGTTGAGCCAAGAAAATGAAACACCAGAGCGACTCCCCTCTTCTGATGTGGCCATGGAAGACGAATGTGGGCCGGTAGCTGAAGGTGAGCCGCCATCGTCAAGTGATTGTCTAACATCATGTGCGTCCCCTGCAAAGTCCGGTGTGGTGAACAAGCTGGAGGAAGTCATTATCCAAGTCTCTGCGGCCGAGAGTTCAACTATGACTGAGGGAGAGAACCACTCTGTTGAGAGGTCAGTGTTGGGAATAATTAAGCGGTGGCATGTATTAGAAATATTGAAGAGATTTCTTGCATTTCACTTGTTGGCTCTCAGTTCCATGACCGGACACTTCATGTGGTTCTAACGGTGTGGAATCGTGTCGAGGTTTCAAACCCTGTAAATATGGGTGGTCAGCTTACATGGTAGGCCTTGAATATTTCACATCTGCTGGACCATATTGAGATTCACAGAGAAGTGCAAATTTATGGTGTGCTTATCGGTCTCCATCCTCTCTCGCTTAATTCTTTCATCCTTCGCTACTTTTCCTGCTCAGACACCTTGGGTTACCCAGAAGTTCCACCTAGATTCTCACCTCCATTTAATATGTCCCGTCCTTTCCACTGTCAGTTACCTAGATACTTTACTATTCCTTGTTAGTCTTTCTTCTTCGTAAATACTCCCTACTCTTCCCAAGTACCCATCGTCACTCGAAGTGTACTTGAGTGATCATTCATGTTTGTCTTCACTCCCATCGTTCTGCAGTTCAGAGTTGATTTCTCTTACTGGAAATCAAACAGTTGTTTCCGAGTTTGGTCTGGCCGCTCTGGAGTGACGCAAGCACTGTCTACGGGATCCTAAAACCACCAGGCACCCAAACGAGGCACTCCGACAGGAGCGACAGGCTCACCAATTTTCGCGCTATGTAAAGTCACCGAGAGAGGAGCCTTTCCTGTCCTTTTCGCGGGTCCTTCCTATAGCTTGGGAGCAAATGACAGCTTAGTTACTTTGACACCTTTATGAGCTCTGGTGAAGTCATGGTGTTTCCGTGTGGCATCTTATCCTTCCTACGTTTTGGTTTACTTTGTTGTAAGTTTATCCGTGTGTATTGGATGCATGTTCAAACCGCTCGATTTTATGACATGCGGAACATTCATATTTGCTTTCGATTTTCCTTCGTGTTTCAGATAGCTGACATTGTTTTTGCTCTTTTTCTTCTGTTTCCTTCGTGCTCGGTGCAATGCCTATGCTCCCTCTACTTTTCTCTCTTACGCCGGATGCTAGGGCGATGCTCGTCTCTGCTCTCAATTCTGCATTCTCTAAGTTGTGGTTATCTACATGTTCTACTATTGTAGTTAAAACCATGAGACAATGCTCGCTCAAATGAATTCGAATACGAGCGAGATCTCAAGGTTGGTAACTGTAGTAGTAGAACTGTAGTGTCTTACGGTTAGTAAGAAAGACTTTACTTTGATTTGAAGTTACTTCTAAAGCCTGGTTGGGGTTTGTACGCAAACTTGTCCCGAATTGTATAAATTGCCTTAAATTATGATCTTTACTGACTAACACTGATGGACGAACTGGATTTGCAGTTTACCTGTCTTTCCACAAGCGTGCGGTGTCCATACTAGATTTATTGACAGTGAGGATAGCGGTACAGAAGCGGAGGACGATGAAGAGACTAACTGGGGAGAAATTGAGGAGCGACAGTCAGCACCGAATACGTGTGAGGATGAAACAGAAGCTTGGTCACTTTGTTTCAAGAATGGGACAATCGAAAGTACAGAAAGCCTCGTTCAGTTGTCAGGACAGAGAGTCAAGAGGAGGCGTGTGAAGAGTCTATCGGGTACCGTTTGCAGCCTGCTGTTTTGTGGTCAAGGCCGGAATATTCTGCTCCTGAGGACTCTGAAGTTTCAGACAAAGCTAGATCATCTCAGAGACGTGCCGTTGTGCACCTAATTTTTATAGCTTGTCTTGATTTATTATATGCGCGTCTCTTTAACCGCAGAAAAACTTACGATAACCTGCAGCACTGAGAGATCTTGAATGGTGTGTGGTGTCAATGAACAGAGTCAGAAAAGTTGGAGAAAGTTTTATTGCCTGGCATGGCAGAAACGATGAGTAAAAGTTTGATAAAGTACTGGTTACAGCGCTACAGTCTATTTTCCAAATATGACGAAGGCATCAAACTGGATGAGGAAGGTTGGTTCTCAGTTACACCTGAAGTGATTGCCGAGCATCAGGCTCTTCGATGCCCCACGGGCCTTGTGATAGACGCTTTCACTGGAGTCGGTGGGAATGCAATTCAGTTTGCATTGAAGTGAGTTGCAACTGCACCTCCATGAAAGAAACTTGCAGAAGTTTTCAAGTCGTTTTGTCCTCGATCTGTTGACCTCGCGGCCTTATTCACGCATAATTCGGTGCAAGAGGTCGAAGCTCGGCAATCTTGTTTTACGCTTATACTCCGTTGGCCCTATATTGATCGCCTGGTACCATTCGAATGTTGACATTTCCGTGTGAACGCCTACGACAGGAAAAATTACGTGGTGGCCATTGACATCGATCCAACAAAAGTAGAGCTTGCACGCCACAACGCAGAGATATACGGTGTATCCGACAGCATTGATTTTATTGTGGGAGATTTTTTCCTCCTGGCTCCGAGTTTGAAGGTTTGAAACTGTGAATCATTTATTGGAATCTCTTGTTTCAAGTTGAAACTTGTTGAGTGAAGTTGAACGAATGTGAGACGTTTCTTCTTTATATTGTCTGTTGTAACCCAATACTTGACACCCAAGATTGTCTTGTCATGTGTTTTGATAGGCTGATTTTGTTTTTCTTTCACCTCCTTGGGGTGGACCGGAGTACCTGAATCAGGAGATTTACAATATAGAGACCATGCTTCAGCCAACGGATGGGTGAGTGACGTAACAACGGACGAGTTTCTCCAAACGGTGGTAACTATGTAAGAAGAGAACAGAAGCGATATAATAAATAGGGTTCGACAACTTGTAGCAACAGATGTTTTGCTGCCTGTTTCCAGTCTTATTCTTGGCATTTCTGTTGAAAAATTGCAGGTTCACGCTATTCAAGATTGCGCAAACTATAGCACCAAACTTGGCAATGTTCTTGCCCCGGAATGTCGATATGGATCAACTGCAAGAACTTTCTTGGCTCTCTAGTCCTCCTCTTCCTTGCCAGGTGAGAGTCCGTCATTTGAACTTAAAACTTCTTCCTTGGCCTGATGCAGTCGCTCCTATCTTCCGTGATGAATCTTTTGACTATATCATTGTAACATCCCCTCAGTCCACTGGCTTAGATATTACAAGGCCATAGTTGATACAAACATACGAACTATATTTTCCAAACAATGTGTCGTACCTTCGGAGGCAAAGAGAGCATACAGAAGTACATTTGTAGATGAGAAGCTCGTATCCAATTTTTATCCATCCTTCTCATATCCAATTTTTCATGCCTTATCCTCTACTTATTGTCCTGCTCAAGTCTCGGTCTCTTGTGCTAACTTCTAATTGCAGGTCGAGAAGAACTATGTGGACCACAGGTTGAAGGCTATCACAGCGTACTATGGTGAACTAGTTGGCCAAAAGCAAGAATGAGAACCATTTTATCTGAGCTGCAATCACTTCGACATAGGAGAGCCCGGAATGCGTATACAGTCTACGTTCCGGTTGATTATGTTGGTGAGCTCCGACCCTGCACCAAGTACGACCACTGCGCAGTCTAAACGATAGTTCAGGCTTGCAACAAGTACTGACACCACGCTTTTGGATTTTCATCAGAATCCGGCGGTGAATGCCGCAAATCCAAAGGAGGAGGCGGGCCTCCTTCATATACAGGAGGATCCAGTCCTATTGCTACGTTCCCGGCAGATATTTGACATGTAATTCTTTACATCTGTCACATGATGCCCGTAGTATGATGGGATCGAGATGTTGGAGCCTGCGTGGTAGCCAAGGAATGGCTTCGAAAAGAGAGCAAAAAGGGGCAAGCTTGGGCCCAACGGATCCCTTCTAACAAAGGTACCCCTGGCAGGCAAAAAAGATTGCTAGAAGAACAACGTACCACTTTAGGAGTTGGATGTGTATCATGGGAACAACGGCAAAATGTGGAGTCCTGCCGCGTAGATCAGTCTATTAAGTTTTGTCATGTCTTACAAAACTGTTTCCAACCATGGACACCTTCACTTGTATCACTTCCAAATATTTACAATCTTATTCTGTACTATAAAGTATTTTGATACTTTTCTAAATGTGAATGAATTGCTTTGGATCTCATCATGTTAATTAGTAATATATCTGTAAACATACTCCAAAGATATCAGAATTGTAGATTCATGTATCCAAAAAATGACTTTTTTAATAAATAATGTTTTTGATGTTTTTAATTTTGGTAGATTGTAAACCTTTCTTATTGTTAGGATAGTCAACACTGAATGTTCCATGTGATCAGTTATTGAGAACATATTGTCTTAGAAATCTAGATACTTGTGAAAAATATTTGTAATGTTGTTTTGGATATGAATTTATAATTTCGTGAGATAAATGTGTTACTTGAAGTAATAGTAAATTAAGCAATGTAAGCTAGAAAGTCTTTAATTTTTCAAATATCGGTTTAAATTCATATCAAGGAATGGGAATTTATTCAAATTATGTTTCTTGTCATGAGTATCGTACATTCGCATGTCAAAATAAAATAAAATACATTTCAGTATAATGTAAAAGCATGACAAGGAGCAAAAATTGAATAACAATGAGTATTCAAAAGTTCAAAACTTTTAATTCACTTCATTATGAGAAGCGTGGAGTCTCCACTTTTTATACATATATTGCAGTTAGTTTATGTACTCATCGCTCAATCCTATAGTACTTTCATTTTAGTATGTCCTCTTGACAATTCAATGTCAACTGTGACATCATGCAATCATCACATTCCTACTTAATCTCTCCGAGCATAATTTTGTACTTGCTGAGTGAAAAACACATGCATGAGAGTTGCAAGAAAGCAAGTCTACAAGAAGCTATTATTTTAAATTATCCTGTATCATGAAAAGAATTTTTGCAACATCCTTAACTATGGTTTAATCCAGAAATTCATATTAGATTCATATTATTGGATTGAATTAGAAAGACACAAATTGAGTTTGGGTTCCAAATTCTTTAGCTCAAGCTAGATATCCTCTACAATTAAATTGCTCTCTAAAAAGTGCTTCAAATCAATAAATGCAACAACTTTAAACTGGCATTACATGTTTTACAGTATTTTTCTCACATTTAAATATAATGAATAAATATTTAAAGAATTCAGATTTTATACAATAATTTTCAAACTAGTGAACTAAAGTCTAAGTTGAAATACATTAACTTCATTCAATCATAAATATAAGAAAAAAATAGATTTTTTTCATTGTTAGCTTACATATATGTTCGTACATGACTGTTTTGAATCCCAAGAAAATCCAGTGAAAGTGTAACACATGTATTAATTATCACATAAATATTATAATTACTGAAAAATTTTGAAAAAAAAAATTTCACAAAAAAATTTATTAAAAAACATTCAATTTGATTAGAAGAGATTTTATAAACATATGAGTGCATTATTATATTTTAAATCTTCTTTGATGACATTGTAATTTCAATAAAAGATAAGTAATTCTTTTTTAAAAAACTGGCATTTCACTTCAACTTCTTGTTATTTGCAATAATAGTTTTTTTGACTTCAAAATGATAAGAAAGTTTGAAAATATTACAGCATTAAAAAATTTTCATACTCTTTTCACACATAGCAGCAATTTTTTTTTCAATTATATTCCGAAACATGCAATGAGTAATCAATTGACAGTTAGGTAGCAAGAGTATAGAAAACTATGAATCTATCAATATGAATGTTCATGTAACATCACTTCAAACTTTTGTTATCTATCGTCATATTTCATTCTTTGTGCTGAAATTACTACTTTTTCAATTATTCATGAGTTGGAATATATATATATGAAATATGTTTTGTATCTTAAAACAATGATTTATATGATTTGAGAATCGTGCAAAATATTGTCGTATCTAGTTATGTCAGAAAATATGCATTGAAGATTTCTCATAATTGATAATACAAAAGATATCTCAGTGCTGCAGGTTATCGTAGGTTTTTCTGAGGTTAAAGAGACGCGCATATAATACATCAACAAAGTTAAATTTTGAATGAGGGATAAAAAAATTAATTTTACTTTATCAATCAATTGATGAATGAATGTAAAACAACTAAAAATACAAAGTTTCAATTTGCATTCTTAAAAATCGATAGTTGCAATATTTCACATACATCATAACAAAGTTTCAAGAAATGATTAAATAATTTGATTGTGTTATATATTTGTTACATTAATATTTGTAAAACGTGTGAAATTTAAACAATCTCAATGGATTCAAACATTGCAAAACTAGTTGATGCATTCACTTGGGAAATGTAGTCATGATATAAGATGCACATTAATAAAAATATGTTGATGTCAGCGATGTGTGTACGTTCAAATAAAAGAAATCATGAATCCCCCCTTCATCATCCATTCGAAAGGGAAAAAAGTTCTATGCTGACACATCGTAACAAAACCAAGGGAATAAAAAAAAATCAATTCAATTCAATCAAAGCAACAAAAATGATGGTAATCCGGAAGACAATTGCAGGCTGAACTGCGCAACAACATGGTGTTCGAATTGCCATGGTCCACGAATGTTACACCCGGAGACATGCTTATTCAATTTCAAATAGAGGGCTGACATTATCACTTTGACATTATCATCATACTTAGATCATGACTCCATTTTCCAAGTAAATGCATCAACTAGTTTTGCAATGTTTGTATCTCATCTGCGGTTACTATTTGTAAGCTTGGATTGATTCATTCCATACTTGATACATGATGTTGTAAATAATAATCATTATTTCATTTCAAAAAATAAAGATATCTATTCAATTGCAAATATCGAGGGCTGAATTCTCTTCAGAATCTCTGGTTTTTTACTTCGGGAAGTTGGGAATATAATAAATAAGCCCATTCCGGTCGTGTGCAGTTTAGAGGGCTTTTGTGTGATTCTCACAATTGTTTCCAGGGGAGGACGACGACCGACCGCTGGACAAAACAAAGTGTGGATAACAATTCAGCAGAAGAGCGCTGCCAAGTGGACACTTGGGCTCGGATAGCGCAATCTGAATTGTCCGCGCGCCCCCGCGGCCTGGCCTTGCTGCCCGTGCTGACTATGCGTGGGAGCGGTCCCATCCCCGGGCCCGGCCCCGGCCGGGCTCGTCGGGCTCGCTCGGCCTTCGAGCGTCGAGCTTCGAGGCGCTGGATGACGATAGCGCTGCGCGTGGAGCTTCAAGAAAGCTTCGAGAGGTATGGATTTTCGTTTCTGAAGCCGGTCGATTTGCGTTTGTCGATTGCTGCAGTTCTGCTGCCTGTGGTGTCTGCTGTGGAGCGGAATGCTGATAACGCATATTAGCTTCGAAGTCGAGCTTTTCGTGAGATTGTGGCACTCTTTAGTTGAATCAAAAAGAGCTTGATTCCGGCGATTCTCGCTCAATTCTTTCATTCTGCGGTGTTTCGGTGCTTTTCGAGACCGTAAACGTTTGTGTGAAATTTCCTTTTTGGAAATTGGGCCGTTGTGCACCCAACCTGTTGGATAAGAATCTGACAGGCATTTCAAATGTCCGCCGTCGTTTTATGCTTTCTTGCTTAGCTCTACCTCGGTCCAGAAATAGGGTCGCGTAGTCTCCATTCTCCGATTGGAGAGAATAGCACGCTTTTTAGCTCTCTTTTCTTCGCTTTGCCTCATCCCATCCGTCTGAATGGAGGACAAATTTCACTGGCTTTGCGAAAATCACGAGTATGTTTCCCACCGCAAAGCAGGGATAATCGTGATATATATCCGCGAACGACATTTTCGGTCCGCCTATGAGAAATTGTTTGCAGAAAACAACATCCTGCGCTCACAGTGCGCGAATATGTCTGTGGCTACATGAATAACTTGCTGCTTGGACTGTCGTAGAGGTGTTTTCCAATCTGAAACTTGAAATTGAACTTATTCTGCCGGATTACTTCGACACATCAGATTCAGAAGTAGTGGAATTGACGAGTAGATTTCGTTGACAGAGTTCTTTCCTTCAACATCTGTACCAGTAATCAGGCAGTGCTTTGTAGCCAGTTTCAATAGTTGCTAGGGACGATTGCTTGGCTCCTACAGTCTAGAAGGATGTGCGCTCTACCTGCTTTGCACCTGCTCTTCGCGCGTTCCCAGTCCACTGGAACGAGTACCAGATGTTTAAGCGTTGACGTGAGTATAGCCTGTAATGTCCCACCTCGTGGAAATGCGAAATTAAAACTAGGTCATCTAGCTGTAGAATCTTTTAGCTCACGACACTGCTTATACACCGTCTAGTCAAATGCGGACTCAGAGTATGGGACCTTTTGCAATGTATCAGTGATTCTCTCACATGAAAGGGTCTGAAATGCACATCATGAGCTTTCGGGACAATTCTTGAAGATCCAGTCCTCTCGGAAGCAGAATCTGAGTTTGAACTGCCAGACACTGAACTTCCTTTTTCTGTTGGTAAGTTGTAAACCGGACGATAGACTTCCAAACTTGTATCCATAAGTGCGAGTGTTGGAACTCGTCAGTGTGAGACTTTCATGAGAGCTCTCTATTCATTCCTTTATGTCCTTCTGGTAACATGAAGAAGTGTGTACTTACGGGGTATTTGCCTCCATATCAACACTCAATGATATCTAGTCTCAAGATTTGGAGCAGATTTGTGGCATGGCATGCAGCACTGGATTTAATCGTTTGATCCTCCGTTTGAATCTTTAATTATCTCGAAAACAACCAGTCTCAACTGGAGGCTGCATTATCTCAGACAGAGAATCACAACACTCGTGTCATCAGATTAAGCTGGAAGTTAGCTCCAATATAACAAACTTCAGTTGAACAGTGGGTGATTGAGACAGCGTCGCTACATGTTGTGAATGGGCATTTGGACCCTTGACCTAAGCTTCATGGTCTTCGACCTGACCTTCATCCCTTGTGCAGGTGATAAATAAAGCAGCGGCTGGTCCAGGCCTCGAAACTGCGGGCTTGTAAAATACTTGTAAAATCTTAGCGGGTTGGTGAAGTTTGGCAAATATGCAGGCTGTAGCAGGGACTGTGGTCTGCACCTCATCACTTTGCCGTTCCGATGCCTACCGAATCGGTCCCTTACCTAGTGCTCGCTTGTGCTCCGAAGGACGAAGGCTGCAGGCAGTTTCTGGCCAGCAAAGCCCTCAAGGCTTCAGTTTAAGACCTTGGAGATGTAGATCACCAGTAGTGCGCCTATGCCAATCATCTGAATGTGCAGAGAAAGTCGATTTGGGAATTCAAATGAACAAAGCAACCGAAGTCTCTGTTAGCACATGGAACGTTGGCAAAGGTTTGGCTTTGTTGGGGAGTGGAGGTATCACATTGTGGACATCAGCAGCCGTAGCCGAAGAGATTGTGGTCGATGCGTCAGGCCAAGGAGGGGAAGTGGCGGCTGACACGGTTCTCAGCTTGTTGTTTACTGCTGCCTTCATCGGCCTTAGCATTCTAACAATTGGTGTAAGTCAAACTAATTGAATCTTTCATTCGCTTCTACTCATACTTTGATAATGCTCTCAGGAATTGGTAGCTTGTGGATCTTTGGTTCCAGAATTTGTGAAATTTCCCAGAGCAATTTACGTTTGTAGTATGCAATATCCGATTGCGAGATCTCTTCAGCTTAAAGAACGGAGGAAATGTATCGTTGGAGTGTGTCGATGATCATTGATTATATTGACTCGGAAAGGATTGCAAAAAATGTCGTATTTTCAAAGAGCGTGGGAGATGCAATTTTAGGCGAAAGGGAGAAGTTTGGAAACAAGAGCATTTAATGGATATTATGTGAAACAAGTCGCATGATCTCGGGATAGATCGTCCAGCTTTAGATTGACACGAAAGAGGCCACAGCTCTGTTTTCTTTCGTTGACTACCTACTTAGATGTAAAGCACTACTGAGGGTTCTGACATGTGAACACTCTCTCTGGTGGAATTTTCTTATATGGAAACAGGTTCTTTATCTCTCTATATCAGACTTCCTAGAGAAGAGAGAAAGGGATGCTATGGCTAAAGCAGCTGGATCGGATCAAGACAAACTGGGTGCACCCGTGACGCAGAAAGGAGATCGTCTTACGCCGAAGGGGTTCGGCAAGAAGGTTGAGAAGGTTGAGAAGGAAAAGAAGGTGGAGCAAAAGAGTTAAGACACATATGTACTGGAGAAAATCTGGCACCCACCAGATCCCTGATCTTCTCACTCCTCATGTCCTCAATTCAAATCTTTTTGACCGAATTTTGTATGGAATCCTTCGGTTTGAGGCATCGTCCGTCAGTGCCTACTCTTTCAAGGACCGAAAGCTCTCAGATAAGTTCAGATGCACTGAAGTTTGTAAATTCTAGCGCAGGATTGGAGTTTTTTCGGACTCTCTTGCGATGTGCCTGCAACTGTAAGGCACAACCTACGAGCAGTAATATGCTACTGCACGTTTTTTGTGGTTTATAGTTCTTCCATGGTTGTTCATGGGCTGCATTTGAGGAGAATAGCTTCTCAGATTTCGACTTGCACAATTAAAAATATATTTGCAGATCAGGCGCCTAGTTCTGTGATCAAGAATTGTTCTCAAGAAGACAGGCATTTAGTCCATCTGTGAGTCCAACAGATCTGATGGGTCTACACTGCCACTGAGTCTGACGTTGTGTCCAACCTGTGTCAATCGATGGATATACTAATGCGCTTCTTCTGCAACTACGTTTTCTCCTATCACAACAGAATGAAAGCACGGAGTACGTTAGGTCTCTTGTATACTTTCCCAATAAACATTGAAGTTGACGGCCAGGGGACCAGAACAGCCACAAGAACGAGATCAATTTATGGGAGCAAGCCATTAACTCAAAATAGAAGAAATTCTCGATCCAGCTGTCATGCACATGAAAGCATGGAACTAGACTGACCGATGTGATCAAGTTTGAGTCAAGTCGGTTGGGCCCTCTGTGTCTGCAGTACATCCAGCCTGCAATTCACATTCTGCAACCGCAAGTTTTGTGGTTGGTGCAGACTATCTGGTCTTCGAGGATGAAGCGAAGCCATCGTGCGTGTCCCATATCTAAGACTTCCCAGTTCTCAGCATGCACGGGTCGTTCACTTGCAGACCTCTCCTTCTCAGGATTCCGAGGTACGAGTTTAATCATGTAACCTACCTATACAAGACACTGAGTTCTGTTGGAAAATCTCGGAACTTAAGCCACTACACCATTGATTTGCGAAGTTCGCTGTCCAGAACTTCGAGTTTCAATTCTTGTTGATCAGAAGAACGAGCTAGCAGGAGCGTGCACCGGCCATGCGACCTTGCACTTAAAGATATCACTTGATAGAAGATTTCCCTCCAAAACATTCGTAACGATGACGAGCAAATTTTTCCAACTGCAACTGTTGTGATATCGATCACATGTCACTCTTCTGCAAACCCCATGCTTCCAATCATATGTTCCATCCTCATCTCCATTCTCTGCTATACAAGGTGTGCAAGGAACCAATGTGTTGTACACTTAGCTGTGCAAGCTAACATTAAGCACGCCATCTATCCCCATTGAGCAATCAGGCAAGGAGAAACAAAAACTACTCAGCTCGGGACATAGCTCACATCACCTCCGAAGCGTACTTCCAGTTGCCTGGCTCAGACCAGACATCTGGTGGATCACTGAAGTCACTGAAGCTTCGACGGAATTTGGCTCCCGCGAGCATTCAGCCTCCCGACGATTACTCGCAGACCGATGTCTTGCAACTAACTGGTTACTGTGACGCATCAGAGCTCATGGTCTCCGCAGGTCCAGTTCCATGCACTGGGCGTGTGCGTGTGCATGTCCCAAGGAGGAGCAAATGTGCACAATGGAAGAGTTGTACAGGAGGATATGAGAGAATTCCACTCTCTCGACTTCCTGTCACGAAAGTTCTACAAGGTCTCATTTTCGACTTCTACGTTCAGAATGAGACCTTGAAGTTAATGCATCTCTTGAGCACAGATTTATATACTAATTTTTGGACATAATCATCAACGCCTGGGCATTTGGTCTAGTGGTATGATTCTTGCTTTGGGTGCAAGAGGCCGCGAGTTCGATTCTCGCAATGCCCCAAGGAAGTTTATTTTGTAAATCGTGCGTCTACTTCCTGCTGTGGAAATGTCAGGCATTGTTTTCTCCCATCGCAATGCCCCAGGGAAGTTTATTTTGTAAATCGTGCGTCTACTTCCTGCTGTGGAAATGTCAGACATTGTTTTCTCCCATCGTTTGACTGGTAGCTGGAGGTAAAGTGTAAATGCAGTAGTTATTATCGAGATAGCTGTTTGCAACATAGTTTCAACGCCTGCATCTCTTTTCGGATGATAAACAGCAGTGGCTGCGTCTGAAACAGGCGCATTCTTTCAGATGGCACATAATTTTTACAAACGAAATCGATAGTTGTCAAAGTTTTCAATCATTCTCTGATGCAACATAGAAAGCGGCACAAGGTAGATGTATGTGGAACGTCTGATTACATTGGCAACTATTTGAGCCCCTTTTCATAGTTGCATGTAGGTATTTTCTGGTCGGTGTCATATCTACCTGCATATTGCTGATCTCAACTCAGTAGTGCTCAACAATACACAAACATCGAGATTATGATCGATGTTTATCTTCAGCGGTTGATTATCAGGCATATATTTCACGGAATATCACTTAAAAAACAAGACCTTGTAGTGTGCATTGCCAAACCAGACAAGTTCCTTGGATCCAGGTAATCATTGCACACCATCTGGTATATGCTTCCGATATCGGAAAGATGCTTCATTGCGGGTTGTTATTAGAAGCAAAACTTCACAAGATATAGTTGATTAAAGTTACCACCGGGTAAGTGGAGCGAAACAGCCTTTATATACAGAGTGACATTCTTGTACAAAATGGTATCTTATTCTCCTTGTATACCTCGTCTTAATAGAGGCAGGAGGGCAATTGGGTTTGTCTAGTGCTTTTGCTTGACCCTCGATCCTCAGTAGCACGAGATGTGCTAAGACTCTATGTATAGATCGTGCTCGGACCTAGAACCCTTGAACCAACGTGGAACCGGCATCATGTGAAAGAGACACGTCAGGGTGTACAGCTTTCATAGATATCTAAACCCGATATGTTTGAAATGTCAGCTTCCCACCTTCCGACCTGAATTTCTGTAAGAGAATTTGCACCACCTAGACCTGATTATGCGCGTTCGCCACGGATTCGGCGGGCGAGCTGAATATCTTTGGGCATGATAGTGACCCTCTTCGCGTGGATGGCACACAGATTGGTATCCTCGAAGAGCCCAACCAAGTAGGCCTCTGCAGCTTCTTGAAGAGCAAGGACTGCACTGCTCTGGAAACGTAGATCTGTCTTGAAGTCCTGAGCGATCTCCCTGACCAGCCTTTGGAACGGTAGCTTCCGGATCAAAAGCTCGGTAGATTTCTGGTACTTCCTGATCTCCCTCAGAGCAACAGTCCCGGGCCTGTACCTGTGAGGCTTCTTCACACCCCCAGTGGCAGGGGCAGACTTCCTGGCAGCCTTCGTGGCCAGTTGCTTACGGGGCGCCTTGCCTCCCGTGGACTTCCTCGCAGTCTGCTTGGTGCGTGCCATAGTTTACAAATCCTGTACAACCAAAAACCACGATAAGAATTCGCACTCACCAGCACCTCAAATGCGAGAAGCACCTCACCAAATGCATCACATTTTCTACCAAATCACTTAGACTGAAACCAGAAGCACGCTCATTCTAGCAGTCAATCGTTTCCGACCGATCGAGCTGACGAGATCGAATTCTAGTCTAAACTCAGCTCAACTATCCATGTTGAATGAACGTGCAGGCTTCTAGAATCGATAGGCGGAGCTCAGAGATCGCTGGCATTAGAAGGGCCCGCTTACCGCAGGAAGGAAGAGGGCAGCGAGGGTGATATGAAGAGATGAGGTATTCGAAGACAGTGGTGGCGATGATGTTCGAATGACGAGCATGGAATTTATAGCTGCGGACGTCGAGGCCGCCTTCGTTGCGCGAGCGTGTGATGACGAGGCGCGTGGGCTGGGCGTTCGAATTTCGAACTCCGGCGGAAGGAAAAGAGCGCGGCTGCCTCGCGAGCTCCGAAGATGCTCGATCCCTGATCCGATGGTGGAGACAAGCGGTCCGTGTGCTCCTTCGCCATTGGTTCGAACTCTCCGACCATTTGTGATTCTCGTCGCCATTTGCAATTCTTCGTTACTCGTTACTCTTTCTTTCCTCCCTTCCTCCCCTTCTCAGTCCATAGAAAAAACCAACGCATGCGATTTTCTTCAGGCATTTTCTTGTATGTCTCTTACATATTAGACACGTTTTGGTCATATTTTAATCTTTTATTTATCTACTTACACTGTATTTATAAATCATATTCGAATTTCAATATTAATGGTAACCACTTAGAAATCACATTAATATGATATGCAACCTATTAAGCAGAAGTTAAACCTCCCAACTTTATAGAATAGTGGATTGCATTAGAAGTTTCTACATTTGTGGCCATTTCATTGAGTTTGGAATATCTCTGTACGTGAACTAAAAAAGGTTCAGTGCGAATTTGAATATAATTGATTATTCGTGCTGGACATGCTGCAAGTGCTTTTTGAAGCGTATTAACTTACAAGGTAATTTCTCAAGGTACGTATTATGTATGGTATCTTGTTGTCTTTTTTATTGACTAGTTTGTATCATCTTTGATTTTTACCTCAAAGCAGATTAAATACTTCTAATGTGACTAATTTACTTCAATTTCATGGCATACTACCATGCACTCACATGATTTTTCAAGAAAATCAGTTGTAATAAATTTGGCACACTCTCATTATCATATAATTACTTGGGTAATTTGTTATTATTCCTTTATTTATAATATTTACAAATAATTTTCAGACATACATTTTCATGTTTACTATTATGTAAAATTTGAGTTCACAAGTACCATTTTCATTCAACACTCTAAAACAAGCAATACTTTGAAAAAAATTTACAGAAATCTTTAAAACACCAAACTTTTACACATTTCGGGTGGATACTCTATCTTGAAGTTTACTCTCTACGTCAAACATCTTAGGTTATGAGATATTGTCATAAAATCTTCTTATATAATTTTTTTTGTCATACTATTCCTCTTCGCCTACATCCATTTGTTTCTTTCCTATTCCATGTTATGAAGCACCTTGAAATCCAAAACGTGAATTGCAACACGTAAAACATGATATAGCAAAAAGGAAAGTTGGGAAACATTGATCTTCTTATTTCGTAGATATATTTTTGAGGCGATAATTGGCGAAACATGGTTATCATTTTGACTCAATGCCGTTTATGACTTGGTATTTATTTACACAAGATGTTGGAGATAGATTTTATTCTTGTAGAGACAATCAATGTTATATTTCAAATCCAAAACTTGGTATAAAGATGAGCACAGCCACATTGAATAACCATTTTCAAATTAACTTCCAAACCTCCAAATGTTATCATCTGACTAGTTGGGATTTGAGATATCTGAAGTGTTGAACTATTATTTGTGTACCTTACACTGGATAACCAAATATTGTATGACTAAACATAGCCAAATAAATTCAATTTTTGTATATTAAATTATTTAAGGAAGAAAAGTAATTTGATTCATGTCTGATTGATGTTTTGAACATTTCATTTTTTTAATGTATACACTTGTAAAATCTAAAAAATCCTAAAATTGTGAAATTATGTATATATAAATCAACTATAATTATGCGTTAACATAAATAGTATATAATAAAGCATATAAAACTCATTTTTATATGATATTTTTTTGCTAGATTAACCCTGTAGTGTTTTCAGGTGTAGTTCTGAGATTCTTCATATGAATAAATTTGATTAAGGCATTGGGTGACTTGAATTTATCATTCATATTAACTAATCCAAACTTAGAATAATGAATTTCACAGTTGCTACAATTTGTATGGCAACTTTGTTATCACAATGTAGATGAGATTGAAATATATCATCATGTTTCTATCTCATTTTAATAAAAGTGTTAGGTAATTAGATAAAGGACATGATTCAATATAATTAAATAAGCTATAGTATGCAATTAGATGTTTCATGTTTCATGCAATACATCTAATTATACATGTATATTAATAATATGTGAAATATTTGTTGTTAATAGTCATGATCAACTTAACTCAATTAATTTTTGAAATATTTATTACTTTATTAAAAATTTCATAATTTTTAATAATCTTGAAATATTCACAATCGCATTTCACAACTTTCCAATGCATATTGATTGCATATACAATATATAATTAAACAAATTTTTTTATACTTCGAGAAATTTCAATTCCAATGCATGCCACTAAATACGTAAACTACTCCATTATCTTGTCATAAAAATGTCAACCACTCAAAATACTATCGATACAATTGATAAAATGTTTCAATATTTTTCTTCAAAACAACCAGAACTGATCTTTTCCGATGAAAAAAAATTTGTTGTTTCCAAATGATAATTACTTGAAAAATAATCCGTAGGATGCTAGATCTGGATACTAGATAAATGTTGCAATGAGGTTGTACTATCATCTACAAAACCCAATGTTGTTAGTAATCATTTTGAAAGGAATATGTGAATTCTTAAAAATACACGGATAATTTCAATGTTTTAATGAAGGTAGATAAAAGTTGGTATATGATGGCAGTCACATTTGATTGATGAAAAGTGGGAAGCTCAATACCGTCTAAGAACAGGACAATACAAGTTTTTTTTAATTTCAATATACATTCTGGATGTAGATTTGTTGACAACTATGGGGTCCATAGTCTTTTCTGATATCCAAGTGGCCCTCCCGGTTTATTTCAATAATTACACCTCAATACTGCAAATTTCAATCTAGGAAACTTTACTACAATGATAATGTAAATATAACAATATGTGGACAAATCAGAGAAAATAGAAAGGTTTAGTCAGTACATGCTGTGCTAATCATTAGAATACAAATATGTCTGAGAATTTAAAACCGGTATTGTGATGCAAGGGACAGACCTACATGGTTATCAATTGAAAAGTATGGAAATGAACCCACTTTCCAGTTGATACACCAGCATCGGTTCGTTTCATCTTTTAAATGGAATTTTCAGTTCCGTATCGATCTCATACAAGGTGTCGCTTCTACTATCTATTCCATCTAGGGTTCCATCTGCAATATATGGACAGAACACCTGTAAACAGTGACACAGATTGGCTTACTGAATCGTGTAAGATTGGGTGGTATTCTGTACTGTTGATGGTACCATTCAAGAATGAGTTAAGTTATAAGCTTCTAGGTGTGAATCATCCACAAAATCTATAAATCCGGATACCTTCCTTTTCCTCTTATTAGAACGAATCACAAAATACAGAAGAATCTTCCACACTAGACTCGAAGGCAAGAACAGGTGAAATGACTCATGTGGTGTTTTCATACGATTTGCTGGATTAGTGAAAGCAGTGCAATTCGTCTTATCCGAAAATTTCTTTTTATCCAAAAAGTTTCGTTCTTGACATCTCACTAGATCTGGTAGTGTAATAAGGACTTTGGCAGAAAAGAGCGAGGAGTAGTTTCTTAACACTGACAGCCAAGGTTTGCATCTAGCAAGATTATTTCCAATAAATTCGTGTTTCCAAGCGCATGGAAAATTAATAAGATGGTATTTTGTAGAGGGCAGAATATGGGCTTGAATTATGTGAGCCAAGTTCGCATGGCTTATTGGATAAGTCTTCCCTTTTTTCTCTTTGCAATCCCTAAAAGACAACTGCCCATGGCTGATGTGAAAAACCGAATGCACTTTGCAGTGGAGTTCGTCATAACCATGACCAATTATTCAGTGAGGGGTGTGATCTCCTCTTAAACATTGACGTGTCAATACTTCCCATTAAGTTCAAACACAAAATCTCTGCTCGGTAACAGTATTCCCTGTAAACCATACAGCCTGACACGGACCATCATGGTGTTGAGCTGACCTCATACAAACGCTTGCAAGCAGGGCTAAACCATTGATTTCGTAGATACTGTCATGACTAAACAGAATTGGTTTTGCTTCCATATTCATCTAGATAATTACAGATACAGTCCACACCTGACTTTGTGAAAACTCGTGCTGCAAGAAAAAAAAAATGGCCGCAAATACATCCACTTGTGGATTGTTGTGTGTGCTTCAACAGAGGAAATAATTCCTGGTGGCCGTGCGACACTTGCGTATTGCATCTCACTAAACCGGCCTACCTTGCCTGGACAAAATATAGCTACAGGATGTCAAAAAAATACTCAAGACCTTGACCAATTTCCCAAATAGAAATGCCTACACCCCACCTTTTGGCTTCTTCAAGTCTGGTGGACAACGACTGCAACGATGGATAATACACCTTGTGATCAGTTTTTTTGTTCTTTATCATGCTCTCCTCTTTGGAATACGTAAAATAATGTTCACTGCTTGCTTCCTCCCATGTAAGAATTGGCTTATGTTGCGCTAAGAGTGAGATATACTCATGTCCAACAATCGCCCCTCCACCTGCTCCAGTCACACCAGTCGATCAGAAAAATGAACTATCCAACTTTAAGACAAGTTAGTACAAAAAAAATCTAAGAATTGAACTCACTACTGTAGTATGTGCCTGTCATAGAATGAAGACCACAGACCACAGCTATAGAATGAGACTCATCCATCATTCGGTGCTTGGCCAAGACGGCAGAAGAAGTAGATTGGAAACCTAACGTTGACAACTATGGCAATCCCTCCTAACAAAAAATTCTAATCAATACGTGTAGTTTAATGAGAACTAATGGTACTTCAAATTTAGGAGGAAGTTGGTGTCTTTGAAAATGGTTGCTGGATGGATAACAGGTGGAACTTCTTTCAACCATTGAAATTTGCGGGGAGTAAAAGGACAGGTTATTACTGCAGACTTTGTGGCAACTCTGGAAATCTACGATTCTTGTCTACAAAAGCTCATAGTTTTATCCAGTGTCGATCTCGAAGGTTTGCATCACCGTTTATTTACTATCTTAAGAGACAATAATATCTCCTATCATTGTGCTTTGTGCCTTTTAAGATAGAACATCCGCGTCATACAACCGACTAGTTCTCACCAATTACCCGTATAAACCTACATTTCGTTTTCGCCAACGTATGACTTTTGCTCAGAAAGAAAGATAAATCAGCTTCAACCCAATGGACCAGGATAAACAGGAGTTGCTCGCGGTTCAAGGTGCTAGCCGGGGAGAAAGGGTCTGAGGAAAGAAGTGGTAGATACCTTGTGGCATTGAGTAATCGTTTCCGTAAAAATTGATGCCCATCAACGTTTTGCTCGCCATCTCTGGAACTCTTGATGCTATGTCGTAGCTCTGTAGATCCTTTCTGGCGTCCGCTCTCTCACCTTCCTTTCCTTTTCCCTTCGGCAATAAAACAGCTAAGCATTGCCGCATCCAAGCAAGAGGGGCATTGGGTCCTGGTGCATACGCATTGGAATAGTCGTATGTCATCAGAGAAAACCCATCTACTGAATCACGAAGGTAGATCATATCACTGGTTGTGAAGGAATTGGGGTCCTGAGGAGTTCCTGTGGGAGGCGGAATGACCAGAATGAGCTGAAACAAATCTCCACTTTTACGCTTGGGTGATTTTGTCGTATGCAACTCCATTCCCAGCAATTTGATGAATTCCAAAGCCTGCATCCAGATGACCTCACAGCGTCATTCCCAATTGTGAAGCATATGTTATGGGTGTAAATTGCAAGTATTATCATCTGCTTGGACAGCCTGGAGACTCTTCTGCATATACATAGACCTAGAATTCCTTTGTTCTCGCATCAATGTCGTTTGACATAAAACGAAACGATGAGCGGAGGCTTTGCAGAGCTGATAAGTTCCACCGGTTGGGAAGAGTGGATAATGCACGATACTAGTAGCACACATTTGACACATATTTCATTTCTAGTTTTGAAATTTATGTGAAGATTGAGTCAGTGGGTGACTATCAGAGTAACTTCAACGGTAACATGCTATAACACCTTTAAAGAAGAACATTCATACATATTCTCTTGATGAAAGGCATCTACCTTTTGACGAAGATTTGAGTCCTGCAGGAGACGATAACCCCGCCAGAGGGACCAGGCCTCTAATACGATACCGTCGAACTGCATCTTTCTGTGAAGATACGATGCCTCCAAGAAATCCGTAAGTAGTCAACCTCTTACAGCAGATACAATTTGTACTGAGTTTCAGACTGGACGATCCATGATACTCACAGTAACTCTTATCTCTTCTGGAAAAGCAAATTCGCACATGACCGCTCATGTTTCCTACTTTGGAGAAACAAGTTTTGATCAAGTGTCTTGGCATAAGATAAGCGTTGATGGAGTAGAGATTTTACGTGACTTCAGAAGTAATAGCGTCGATTGCTTCCTCTCGTTCCTCTTCTTTCGTTAGCATGTCGGTAGGATATCCTTCTAACACAACACGGGGCACGATCTGCTCCAACAAATCCACTGGAGACACACTTGAATAAAGACCAAGAAGCAAAACAAAAATTGCGAGCAAAAGATTAATGAAATCATTTCACTAAGGACAGAAGTAACGCGTAGACAAAAATTCCTTATATGTGGATATGTAGATATGTATTCAAAAAAGTTTGTTATCGGAAGAGAATATTGTTGAGAACTAACCTATCCGTATGCGTTGAACATATGTTAGATTTTCGTCAATGATCATAGCACGTTTCTCATCAGCTTTGCAAAGGAACTTTGCAGCTGTCACATTCAGCACTCAGTACTAATTTTGCTTACAAACATACCTTCGGAGATCCTCCTTGACGAACATCGGAGATCCACTTTTGGTCAACATCATGCCTTCCATGCAAGTGCAAGCCACTGTTGTCTCTGAGAGTAGGAGACAAGAAGGCATCAGACTATGACCTACCATCATTCTCTTCGCCATACGAAGCTCACAACAAGAAGTACCAATAAATAATATTCACCTTTTCAGTTGGTACCAGACAGGTGAAACATGTGTAAACTTGGAGCGAAATAGTTTGGCCATGTCATAACCTTTTCCATTCCTGTGCAGATGGACATAACAGACAGTGTGGAACTGGACATTTCAAAAATGCTCACGCAAAATAGAAAAATACACAAAAGTATCTATATCTGCAGCTGAAGCAGGATGTATAACGAGTCACTATGTTATCCCGTGAGTCAAGTTCAAATTCAATGCAATAAACTGATTTCATACTGTAAAGCTCAATTTACAGTATAAATATAAATCAGTTCATGAGCTGTGTTCCTTACAAATTCAAGTGCGTTGAACTGACATCACTCCATGAATCCTCCTATCGACCGGACAGAAAATCACATTGTCTACCCATCCGATGGTTTTAGTGACAGAAATACGATGCAGATAGTTTACCATGGGGTGACATATGCCAGGACTGAACCCTTGAAGTGACGGTGGGAAGTGTTGGTCCAGTAGCGAGGATGATCCTGCGGCACATAAAAATGATTTTTGAGATTTATAATCCTCACCAACTGGTCAAACTAGTCATGTTCTCATTCTGCCAGAGAGTCAACGAGAGTATGCTACTCAAAGGGCAGACTGAGATTACAGGGCCAGAATATAACGCGACCGGTATGAAACTTAGTCTGAAAATGCAGCATTAGCAAAAGATATGTTATCGTGACATCCAAGAGTCACCTGCTGTCCTTACATACATTTTCTTTTGTTCCAAAAAAACATATGTATATTGTCTCCACGTCTAGGTCTTCCAACTTCAATATCTATAAGGAACCAAGCGTTCATGATGGGGAAGGATAAGAGAGAAGGTGGTGCTGCTTGCATGCACCCCGACCTTCCCAAAGAATTTCTCTAGTGATGGTAAGGGAGCAATGTGATATCGTGTGACTGAAAATGAAGACAGCCAGGAAAGTCTACTGAGCGCAATTGCACTGACGAGACGAACCTTGAGCACAGCTTCGTAAGAGAGATCTGCAGCTTTCACGAGTCCACGGTCGTAAACAGATGCTGTGGCAGTGACGTTGAACAGCTGATTCACAGACGGTGGCGCCACGAGTGCATCCGGTCTTCTGGTGAGAAGCCAAACTCCCCACAACATGGCAAGCATCACGCACACCGCGGTAACGCTTAGAAGAACGCTGACGGAAAGCTTATTCTTGACAGATTCTGGCGATTGCTGCTCATAGTTCCTCCCACCTCGAGCATTTCTGACGGGCGGTCGGGGAGGTTTGGCTGCCACCCTCCTCCGCTGCCCTGCACCCTGGCTCGGCATTCTGTCCACCTCCTTTAATCTCTACACCGGTAGCAGAAACATGAACAAAACCCCAATGGATCCCCAAACCCTTCAATCAACGAATCCACCGATCGCATGCTCTCCGTCCCTCCGCCCCTCCCATACAGCCACTGCTTTCAGAAGCAGAAGCAGAAGCGAAGCAACTTCTGCGTGTCTCGGTCGCGCACACACACACGGCCGGCCGAGTCTTGTCGATCATTTTGGATCAATCCCTCATTCACAAGTTCCTCGCGAATCGCTTCAGCATCTCCTGAATTCGATCCTACCCGCAGGCCTCGATTTGTCCAGAAGGCATCCCGACAACGTGAGGTCCGGTCGGCTCTCCGATCCAAAACTCTCACCAAATCGACCTCCCGGATTGTGCGCACACCTTCCTTATACCCAGAGCCCGGCAAAACCAGACCATCTCCGATTAGCAGCAGATTCTGTTCGCTCTGTTCGTTCCCTCAAAGATTCTGCCTACTCCCTCCTCCACCTTTTCGGGTACGAGTGACGTCAACAAGGCCCCCTCCCATACGGAGCCTGTCCTTCATGCGGTCAATGCCTAACTCGTCATTCCGTAACCGCGGTTAAAGGTTAAACCTCTGATTAAGCCGGAGGCATGAGGGCGGGCAGGCAGGCAGGCAGGCAGTGATGCTGGTGTCTGAATATTTCTTTCCTAAACCCAGTTGGCCCTCATTTTTCGTCTGTATATAACTATATACACTCCCTTCTCATTCCATGATTTGAGCATGGATTTCTGCACCGCCACAGCCGCTTCATTTTCTATACGATTTAGCGCTTGAAAAAGGGGGAAAGGGTTAGTATTGCAGGAAGTGCATGGTCACTGGATCGGTCGGTATCATGCCGTGAAAGATCAACAATGTTCTATACTCTAATTAATGTTGTGGTGATGGGAGGAAAATCAGTAGATTCGATTTGTGGATATGGTATAACCTGTTTCTATACATTGTAATAAAGGTTCCGACAATTCATGGACAGGAAAGCAGAAACTCCCACTCCCATACCTTGAGCCGAACAGTTTTACAAGTTTTATTCTGATAAAATAGAAATTTATATTATTGAAGCTGTCATAATTCATTACAGATGGAGGAAAATCCACTTTATATCTTCAATGATTCATAGTGACCAAAATCTTTCCGGATATCAAGGAGAAACCTTGAGATGTACTGCGTAATGAATCAGGATCTCGTGATCCTTGCTCCCTCAACCCATTACACAATAAATGTGGATTTCCGTAGATTATTGGCTATATCTTGCGGGGTCATGGACATGACCCCGAAGCATGTGGAGTGACAGTCTTAGAAACATAATGGACAAATAGTCATTACTTTTGTCGGAGGTTATCCAAGGGGACATGCTGGCTCACAAACCTTACATTTCAGTAGACAAATGTTCACGCAGAAAGTGTTTCGGTTGGAACACTCATGACTCGCTTGCGGTTATTGCACTCTACGCTTTCAACACGGAATGTGGGTTGCAAGAATTGTGTTCCTTCTGGAAGCTCACGTAGTCGTGCATTAGACCCTGCACAAAGAGAGCGGATATGCAATCACAAAGTGACTCTAGGGGCAGTCCTCCTCCATCTCGTACGGTGCACTGAATCTTCAGAGCATAGTGCAAGAAAGCCAAGTGTAAGGAATGAAAAGGTCAAGGTGCTGGGCAACGAGATGGAGAAACACGTTCTGAAGCATATGAAATTTGCAAGGCATCTGAATCACCCTCCCAAAGAAATGTATGTTTTAGGTCTAGATGAGGAAGCACAACTGCTAGACGATCTGTACCCCATGCAGTTGACTTGTGAGGAACCGTATTCGACATCTACGTGGTCGCCTTCAAGCGAAATATTAGGTTTCATGGAATTGGGCAAGGGAGAGGGAGATGGAGATGGAGTGCAAAGCTACGACAAGTCTTCTTGTAACAGCAGGCGAGAGTGCAAAGAGAGAGAATAAAATGCACTCTTGGCACAAGAATCCTTGATTCATGCCAATCATGGACATTCATGGGGGGAGGGATAGATGTGTGTATGGGTTGAAAGTTGCAATTGCACTTTGGGAAGGCATTAAATTGTGAATATCTGAAGGCCAAATTATTGCCGGAGCCGACCGGCCACATGCAATGGAACGCTATGCAATAATGTGTCGTGTGGAAACATCCTAACGGAACACACAGAAGTAGAAGTTGACGTGCATATATGACGTCAATCGATGGAAATGTTGGGAGTCTTTGAGATCAAGATTTGACCTCCTGGGGCTGACAGATAGAGCAGAGGGGAGGAGATAGAGATAGTGACGAAGATGATGCTGGCGGATGCTGCTGCTGCTGCAGCTGTTGTTGTTGTTGTTGTTGTCTTGAGCAGGAGGAGCAGAGGGGAGGAGGAGACGCAACAGCAACAGGAGAAATAGTATTCACCGTCGAAAACATTTCACAATCGGTGAATCTGCTATTGTTGGGTTGGTATATGTCAGGGGAACGGGACCCACAGTTGACTGTTGGAGGAAGGTGCTTGCCAGGTATAGGACAGACAAAGTCCGAGACATGGACAGTCGATGCAACAGAAGTTTGAATGTGGAGGGCAGAGGAAAGGTGAGACAGTATGGCTGGAAGGCGGAAGGACAGAAGAGAAAGTTGCAGGACGTCTGGAGGATGTTGACAGGTCTGATGTTGTTGTTGATGTTGTTGTTGTGGGCTTGAAGGAAGAATCCGAGGGAGAATCGGCTGAGAGAAGTAGTTTTGCTCGAGAGATTGTCGTAGACTGTCACCATCGAGGATGACATTCGAGGTTTTCAGAAACATCTGCAAGTGTTTCGCACAGCCTGCAGTGTCCAGCAGCTTCACTACTACAGTCCGAGGGTTGATGAGCAGCAGAAGAAGGAGAGCTAGCGATTGTCACTAAATCCGATTTCAGCACTCGGTTGGCGAGCTGCGGCTGATCGGTGCACGGGCCGATCATGGCAGCTGCTTTGAAGCGACCCGAATCTCCTGCCTCGGACATTTTTTCGACAGTGGTGTTCAAATCCGAGGATGACACTCCCTACGCCACTGTGGTGCACAAGAGCGATGATACTTACGATACGGTGGTGCATAGGGTTGGTGGCGGGGGTACTGCAAATGCCAGTTTCAATGGAGAAGCAGGGGGCAGTGGGACGGTCAAGATGGCGGCTATTGCAAAACCGCAGATAGCGACAGGTGCAGCCAAATATGAGCCCAGAGAACGAACTCGAACACGGAGCATGAGAAGCCCGGTTCATGAGAAAGTGATGCAGGAAGATCCTTCAGTGAAATATGATCTTTTGAATGAGCTAGGTATGTTCTCTATTGCCTGCCCTTTCAAACATACCTTGAAAGCTTAATTAAGAATGATTGAACCTTCAGATTTGAAGGGGACGACATTTAGCGTTGGAGCTTAGTTGTTAGAAGATTACAGACGCTATTAGAACCGACCCAGAGGGAAATTTGCACCTGAGTAGTCTTGCTAGTAAGATTTGAGATATCCACAACAAATTTCGGTCTGGTTTTGTAAGTTGATAAGTTTCAAATGAGCAATAGACAGTCGGAAAACGTGGCTCTTTGTTGCGTGCTAATTGTTATGTTACAGTAAGTTGTTCATGGATTCTGGTGAAATGTTCCATTCATGAAATCTACAGCAATATTTATTACTGCAAATACCATGTTTTCTAAAACTTTGCAGATAAAAAATCAGAACACCTGTAAACATCTGGACGATGAGAAACGGAAATGAAACATTTGATCCATGCGTGCAAGTTTTCTGTTGTAATTCTGGCCTCCCTCTGCATAGTTCTTTCTTTTTTCTTTCACTTTAGCCGTGAATCTAAAGAATGTCAACGGGAAACTTATATTGCTTTGGATATTACAACGTTTTCTCACAGGTAAAGGATCCTATGGTGCCGTATATAAGGCAAGGGACCTGAGGACGTCGGAATTGGTGGCTATCAAAGTCATATCTTTATGTGAAGGGGTAAGTATCCTGAACATTAATCACATCATTTCTAGGCATTCTCTTCACATATTCATGAGCAAATTAGCTCTTCTGTTGCCAAATTATTGGAATTATCTTTCTTTGTTTGAAATGAACACTCAAAGTATAATAATGGTCATCTTTTACTCGTTAAATGTACGTATTTAATGATTTCACATATCTCCATATTTTTCCTTCCATTTCTATTGGTGCGATTATGTGGTTTTATGATTATCGCGAGGTGCAAAACAGTCATACCACTTTGAGAGTACTCAAAAGATTTTGCTTTATCTGGTTCCCCTGTTAATAGCGGTCACATGGTCATTGACCTCAGGAAGAGGGATACGAGGAGATTCGTGGAGAGATTGAAATGCTACAGCAGTGTAATCATCCAAATGTAGTTCGGTATCTTGGCAGCTATCAAGGAGAAGACTACCTCTGGGTAAATTATTACTTACATCATTTTTTGCTAAATTGGGTTTTTTTTCAGACAATGGTCTTCTTTGATCTGCATTAAGGGAGAAGGTCGGTTGTTGAGCTTTCTTATGGGAATGCTACAAATTTGTTCCCAGTCTATCCCCGTTTCATTGCTCTATGTGAAACGATTGTCGATTTTGTTCGATTGAGTTATTGAGGGTCTTTAGTTTATCGCATGAGGCGGTTCTAATCGTTTCTATGTATGAATCGTCTGTGATTGCAGATTGTAATGGAGTATTGTGGGGGTGGCAGCGTGGCCGACCTGATGAGCATAACTGACGAAGCTCTTGAAGAGCATCAAATTGCTTATATATGCAAGGAGTCTTTGAAGGTAGATGTCAATAAAGTTTGATCTCCACCACGTAATTTATATGGCCGAATGTTAGATTTCATTTCCAATGAAGTGGAACTTAATGTCTGCAGCATTGTTTGGCAGTAAATGGTTCATAAGCACTATTGACATGTCAGAGGCCTAAGACAGGTGTGTGTTCATCAGAGAATACTCCTCACATGTGCTTTCATCATACAATAATAAGTCAACCCACTGTTTAAATACGCATATATTTTCTAAAACCTCATCTAATCCGTGTAAGATTCGATCAGCCTTTGAAAGCGCTCAATGTAATGTATCTGCTCACAAAGAGGCGATGATGTATTAACAGGGTTTAGAATATCTTCATTCAATTTTTAAAGTTCATAGGGACATCAAGGGGGGCAACATTCTGCTCACGGAACAAGGAGAAGTGAAACTTGGTAAGTTCTTTGATAGATTGGCATTTTCTGAATGTTTGAGTTTTTGTTCTAAATTGTCACTCATGTAGACCAGGCGATAGCGACATATTGACCTTTTTTCATAAGATTGAAAGAAATCAAAGGCTTGTCACTGTATTGGGATGGTTATGAATGAGTCCGGGGCTCAAGGACATACTTTATTGTATTGGTGGTGAGTTAGGAACAAACAAAAGCAAAGTTGTACACCATGAAGTACTACGTGCGATATGGTATATCTATTAGACTTCTGCCCAATGTATTTACAATGTTAATTTTTTGTCATGTGGACCAGGCGATTTTGGTGTAGCAGCACAACTGACAAGGACCATGTCAAAACGGAATACTGTAAGTCTCTCATATCCTCCCTTTGATTAGTATGTCTAAATATCCCGTCATTGGTACTTTGTCAACTTTTTTTGACAGATTTTTCATTTCTGGCTCGATCATCTAAGAAGCATTCTTCGACCAGGAAAGACTACGCACAGGAGTTCATTAGTAAGGTCCTCATGTTTCTCCCCGATGTGCAGTTTATCGGAACGCCTCATTGGATGGCACCTGAAGTTATCCAAGAAAGTCGTTACGACGGCAAGGTATGCATGTGATAGATTGGATGTAATTTTTTAATGTCTGATTGCCCTTGTCTGTAATCTCAACAATAATGTCTTGATCGGTTGAATCTACTACATGTCTATGAGAACAGAAAGGCCTTTTACTTTCAACTTGAATATTTTTCCCTGACCAAGTTCTGATCTCATGATGGCCTCAGGTGGATGTATGGGCACTGGGAGTATCTGCAATAGAAATGGCCGAGGTAAGATCATGCAGTGGATCTTCCATTGGTCTTGTTTTCCGTCAAGGTTGTCCTCAGTACCTCCATGTGTTGCAGTTGTATTGATGCATAAATAGGAGATCTCAGGTTTGAAAATTGGCCAGGATATTCATAGTTGTGTAGCTGATTGTGTGTGGAGCCATATTTTGTAGGTTGTTTCCACTACAAGGAAAGCGCAACCATACTCATTAGATTGAACATGAAATCTAAGGCTAAATTACTGCTTAGCGTTCATGACGTATGATCCATACTTCATCTCTAAATGGAAAGGTTCTTTTTTGAGATCTAATCATATAATGTTTATTAACGAACAAATTTCATATGATTTAAATGTGGGGAAACCTCATGAGCAGATTCTCATGGTCTATCGTTCTACCCGTCAGCGTTGGGTGTTGCCTTTGAGTCAGAATAATGACTTGTATAGTCATGTCGAACTGAGGTCTGAGAAACACCGTATATTTTGTATTTGTGATGCAGGGACTTCCGCCGCGGTCAAATGTTCATCCCATGAGGGTAGGTTTCATGATAATATATCACGTAAAGAGTTAGATTTCTCAGGAAAGATGGAATTATTTTGTTTTTGTTTTAAAGCTTCATTACAATAATTTATATCATGCTTCACAGTTGTAGTATGAGAGTATTAGCCCGTTTCGTTGCAGGCTCATGAACGTCAATTTGCAATATGTGCAGGTACTTTTCATGATATCTAGAGAACCCGCACCTATGTTGGAGGATAAAGAAAAGTGGTTCGTATACATCCTCAGCGCTTTTAGAACTTAGTTGTTGTTAGTCAAGACTTTACATTGTTATACTCTTTTCCCAATTCCTGCTCAAGATTTTTAATTTTTGCTCCGATATTGAAAAGTTTTGTATACTTCTCACACGTTGAGATCTTTGTGACTAGAAGATCTGACACCAGCCATAGAAAGCTATCAAGCTCATGTAACCTGTTTTGTATTTTGGAGCAATACACTGAGTAAAAATTAACGACGAGAATATATATATATATATAGGTCACTAGTGTTTCACGACTTTGTCGCGAAATGTCTCACCAAAGAGCCGAGGCTGCGGCCTACAGCGACCGCGATGCTCCAAGTAAGATATCCTGTACTCTGTAGGAAGTGAGTCTAAAAATTTAAGATCAGTAGGCTGCAAGGAATGTCTTTGAGATAAACTATTGTGAGTCAGAACTGTTAGATGAGGCACGAAGTGACTTGTATTCTGACATCATAATCTGTAAGTGGTAGATTTTTTTCTTCTCATTTCAAATGTGCTCTAATGCCATTGAAGCCTTTTTGGTTGACATTGAGTTGCTGAAACCATCATAACGTCAAGAGGTTGATACATGCAGCACAAGTTTATAGATAAGTGCAAGGGTACAGCAATGTCAATGCTGCCAAGAATTGAAAGAGCACGAGCTATCAAAGTGGAGATGGTGGCTCAACAACTAGCCTACAACCAGGAACAAGGAACTGCATCTTCGGGCGGAGGGGTAAGTTCCTCCTCGCTGAATTTGTCTAGGGATTTCCACAGTTACACGTGTATTTTTGGTCACTAAATTCTTGAGATTACAACAAAAATTGCTGGTGTCAATTGAAGAATTTTTCTTCGACGTCATTTAAGCAGTTTCAAACATCTCATTATGTGTTTTAGTATTTCGAGAAATTTGTATCTTAATTTTGTGCAAAGAGGGATCGTTTTGAAGTCACCTTCTCCACCTGGAATATTGTAAGATTTAACTCTTTTTTACTCTTATACTCGTCGCTCCTGGCAATCGTGTTTTTTGCAGCAATGGTCTTGGGAGAAAGGACAAACAGTTAAAATGAATGAGTCCTTTGGTGGGACAATGCTCATCAGGCATGATGCGGATACTCTCCAAAAGGGTGCATCGCTCGATTCTGAACAAGAAGGTATCATAGCCCTTCAATTTCCTTCTACTTTGCAGGACCTCCATCCTAATAAGTTTTTTCAATCTCAAGGTTCCGGAGGACATACCTTATCTATTGGTGTTGTACTTCACCTTTGTCCGATCACCAGCTCGTTTGTTTGTATTTCGAGAACAATCGAAAAAATTGTACTGGTATTTGAAGAGGTTGTATTGTTCACTTTGCGTAGATGGCGACTTTGGAACTATAGTAGTACATGGAACTAGTAAAAAGCACGATTCCGCCTCTGGTACACCAGTCACTGCAGAGGATGGACAAGAACCAAACAGTGAGAATGGCAGTCCTCTTCTGTCACCAGTTCAGACTCCTGATATAAGGTGTTTATTCAAAGAACCATACATCTGTTTACTTCAAATTACTCCTTATTTTTTGAAGCTGCCTTAGGTTGTCCATGTATTTTGGAAAGTTGGAAGGTAATCTTTCCAGGTTATAAAGTGTTTCAGGAGTTCTAATTTCAGTTCTGGATCACAGTTCTGAAGTCGGGTCTACAGTAAGAGGGAGGAATTTGAATGTGCCTCCAATCGTGCCACCATCCCCCCGTTCACCTTCTACGTCTCCAGTCTCTTCTCCAAAACAACCAGCCATTGATGGGATTCTAGGATCCACACTAAGACGAATTGCAGGGGATGGACTAGCAACTGCTACAGGAACACCAAAGGGAACCCCAACCGTCAATAGACAGGGCTTTGCTTTGCAAGATAAGGTATGATTTCACAAGAGACTTGATCAGCTTTAGGGATTATTCTGGAGCAACTTGGTTGCGAGCTTCAACTTTTTATTCCCGAAGGAAAGGAAAGGAAGAAAATCTTTCTTTCAACAATTGTCCTTCTTTTCTTAAAGAATTGGGTTCATATGGATTTGGGTTTAACAAAACACGCTTGAAGGTGATCTTTCTAATCAAGCTGACTCCACTCTACTTTCTAGCATTCTCTCAAAGTCTTCTCCAGGCTACACGCAGTTACTAATGACTGCGTCTTTGGCAAACTTTAGCTCAAGTACACAATTCAGTATTCTTGACCTATCAATGAGTATGAGCTAATTTGATGTTTCATCTTGTTCTGAATAGGATTATCGTCTAACTTCACAAACAGAAGCATCATCCTACTCTGACAAACAAATATTTGTATGGATGGTTTAACAAGCATTGTCGTCTAGAGCAGATGAATGTATCCTGAAATTAGACACGCTCATTGACTTGTTTTGTTGTTGTCAGTTGTTGTCTGTCTATGCTGCAGGAAACACAGTCCCCATACCATTCTTGAAGGCTACCGATATCTCACCAATCGCATTGATTTCTGATAATATATCTGGTAGTGGCCAACCTGATCATAGTGGGGTCGTTGCGTTAGAAGCTATCCAAGAACTTTATAATGGTGGTGGTTTAGGAGATGGTCAACAACGAAGGGGGCGGAAGCCACTTGGCAATGAGGTATCAGACATGTGAACGTCCTTGATGTCATTTTCTCTGTTTCTGCCATCCAAATCCAAACGAGGTATTTTTGTTGGATGTAAACACATGTCTATGCTTAATTTTGACATAGGACTCGCTTTACAATCTATCACTAATTTTGATATTATGCATCAGATGCCGCTTCCTCCAAGTGTTTATCAACGGCTGGCGACAAGCACAACACTGCCCAATTTGGCTCGTGCCTTAGCATATCATAAATTGTAAGTGAATTTTAGAAACCATAAGAATTGCCTCTTGTTGTATGTGGACTACAAATGTAGAAATTGAACTTCGGTAATTGTAAGAGCTTCTACCGAAGCTCTTATACCGAGGTTAGAATAGTAGACTGCAAGTAGTTTAATATAAACCCAATATTCTTTGAACATAATGTCATTGTCCACTCTGTGAAATTTGCAACTAAACAGCTCAATTGTTATCGTGTCATGCAGATGTTATGAAGAAGTACCATTGCAAGGATGGCAGGTGGCACAAGAACAACAAACCATACACAATCTATCTGATACACTACGAACTATTCTTCGATTGTAACATAGATTCAGTGCACTGCTTGTTCACATCCAAAAAATTCTACTGCAGATTTTTGAGGCATCAGATCCATTTGGCCGATGTCAAGGGACGAGCTGTAAGTGAATGCTTCAGCCCTTTGGATGTGGTTCAAATGTATATTGGACAAAAGCCATGTACAAAAATTGAGATCGCTTTTGTCAATGAGTCCATTTTTCGAGATATTATAGGTAACTTTCATATATTCCATGGTCACTTTGGGTACCTGTATTTACTCCCGCCTCATAATTGGTTTCTTCTATTCCCAACCCATAGGTTTCAATTTATCAGAATCCCCAGCTAATCTGGTGTGGTTTGTTGAAAGTTTTGAAAGTATCAATAAAGGAGAGGTTACACTTGAAGTGAATTGGACGACGATGTTCTTCTTCACAAATGAAGGAATTTCCTTCAGAGGAGTTGTCCCACCAACCCACAATTATTGTGTCGGTCATGGTTCGCACCCATCATGCATCATGTTATGCCACATTTTTCCTTGTTACGGAGCTTTGATTTCGAGACAGATAGATGGATTGACTAAGCAACTAAATTCACATGTCTTTGGAATCCAACGTAATTAGAACTCAAGAGAACAGCGTTTCGGCTCCTCTATGGAGAATATGACCACACCTTGCTTTCTTACTAAATACAATGCTCCTTTGGACTGCTGGAGCAACATCAGAGCTCGATATCTCCATCTATGCAATACCGTCGGTAAGGCATTCTGCTCTTAAAAGCGGGCTACTGCGTAGTTTTGGTTTGATTGTGCTCAAGGGTTTCACTTTTGATACGGTTAACTCTCTATTTTTCGATCTTTTCTTTCTGAGAGCAGAGACTCGAAGTAGGACCCATTGCCGATTGCCCATAGGACCCATTGCCATTGGTAGATACCGACTCTCGTGAACTATCCAACTGTATCGCAGATATTACACTTCACCATGTTCCTATCAATTGCCTGACAACATACAAATGCCTACATGTCAACAGTCGACTCTTGTCCAGCAGCAGTGCATGGTAGCGTTTCAAGTCGGTTTCTCTTGCATGTTCACTCCATTATGTGCCGAACACCGTCACAAATGAATGGCGCGCTATGTTAGGCAGATAATGGTGGTCACCTGACATTTATAGCAACTCAGACCGATATCACATGGCAATTGATATGTCAGTCATGGCTCGCGTACACGACTGCCTAACTCGGTGTAACTCGCACCTTGAAAATCCATTGTTGAGAGGAATGTTCGTCGGCATGATGATGATCGCCATCTGTCAAGTCGGAGGACACTCCGGATGTAGAAGGCACTCAAATCACAAGTCAACTTCCTTTCAAGGGTCAGATTCTGACAAAGGAAAAAGGCGGTAGTCGGTGACAGAACCGAATTCTCACGATTCCTACGAGCTTCTGATTTCTGCACATGAAGTAGGAAGGATGGTTAGACGCAAGTTCATGAGACGGCACCATTAAATTATAGAGGGTACGTCGGACGCGATGGTCGACGTCAGTGGCAAGAAGCTCGTACGATCAAAGAAAGCTAAGTGAGATCGTGCCGGTTGAGCCTGACATGGGTTGTGAACAGATGCTGTAGAGAGGTGGACATGAAGAGGAAGTTCAAGACAAAATGCACATTTGTTTAGCACTCGATCACGCAACAAATGCACTCACAGCAAATACCTTTCTTGCTTTGCGTGCTTGCATGATGATGCGAATGCGAATTCTTATATTTGCTTGCAAATGGACAAAATGAGTTTGGAGGTGCGAAAATGGTGCCATCACGACCCACGTAAAAGTGCGCCTTCTCAAGCCGGACATTTTGATCTCCTTTTTGACATAATGGAGTCGACAGAATACGGAGTGATCCTTGGAACTGACATGAGTCTGTGGATGCCGAAACATTTACTGCGCTCTGATGTATATTTCCACGTGACAAGTGAATGGAAATATATAAAAGTTTTTCCCCCTGGATAATATTTCTTGTGCCTGTCTTATCAACTAGTTGCAATACATTGCCTTTACTATCAAATATGATTAGATAGGTACATCTTGGTATGTCACACATATCACTGTGTGATATTGTCAAACTATAATATCTTAGTTAGAGGTAAAAAAATTCTATTATGTACTTAACCTTACCATGAATAGAGCGAAATATATTCGAGGGTCTACCTACGGTGAGTTGAGTTGCCAACTTCTTACTTCTGTCACAGACCTGGTTATACCACAACCAGAGTCCCATAGCCTTGTCGGTTCAAAGGCCATGTGGCTCCCAAGCTCAGTAATTTGATCCTGGCTTTTGTTTATCTTTGATTATAAGCTATGGAGGAAAACCTGAATTTAAAAATCATGTCAACAAGAGCTTTGTGAAAGTGATGCAATTTTAAATATCTTGTTTCAAAGCCATTACGTCCAGAAGATTAGATTGAAAATCTACCCACGTACATTACAGCTGAATAATTCTCGACATTGAAAGATACAGTAACTGAAATGAATTATTCTCTTTATGTCATTATGATGCTATCGGCTCCCCACCATGATCCGCTATCGATGACATAATGATGTCTCATCCCTTGAGGTTTACCCCGTCTGACATAGCACCCACCGCATTGCATGTAAATAACATGCATACTGTGCATCCATCATCTGACCTACCCTTGACCTTTGTCATCATTAAATACTCGCCCTTCATCTTTGATTGTCATCGGGAAATGCTCTTGTGACAAGAGAAGAACATATTGAAGATTAGAAGAATACCGTTCTATTCATCACCTAAAAACGCTCTTTTCTGCAGAGGCGACCATGCTTTCTGGCCATTGTCATTCCAGCTGTAAATGGACGTTGTAATTTTACAAGAGATACTTATTTTTAGAGTAAGCAACAAAGCTCTTGTGCCAGTAGGCTATTCATCAGTTGGAGAGATGGCTCTTCAGTTTGTTGGCATATGATCAATACAATTATGGATATACCAGAAAGTTACTTATGGACCATACTTCTCATGTGAAAACGCTGATAATTAAAAGAGAAAAACAGAACTTGAAAGAATCCAAATAAACATTCCAAAACATGGCGCAACAATCATAAGTGTAGTATGATTGTTGAAGGTTCTATGAAGTAATGTTTACAGCCTTGCTTCTCTAGAACAAGACTACAACCAGAAGAATTTATTTTACTATATCAAATAGCAGATATTGAAGATATTGATACGCTGACTACACCATCAAGGTAACCAGTAGTCGTGTCAATGAGTATCTGGTCAGTACATATGTTGTTCAGGAGGCTGAGCTCAAAAAAGGCGAGGCAGGGAATAAATATATTGTAATCTGTAGCACAAACTCAAGAGGACACCGCATTTGCAATGGCGGGATGGACTATGAGTAGAGCCTCATTAGATAAAAAATGACATCAGATCTGCAAGAAGTTTTTACTAGGGGGAATTTCTGTTCGAAATTGTCAACTAGGACAGAAATTCCCTATCCATGAAGTATGTCTAGGAATTCCCTCATCTGCCTGAAATATAATTCTCTTCCCATGATTTCTCGGATTTGACTTGATGGCTTACGACTATGCCTTATTTCCGGCACATATGGTCTTGCAAATGAAAATACTTTGAAATGTACCAAATGATTCCTATGATATTACTATTAATCCTTTATGGGAGAGAGCGCCCTTGAATTCTTGACCTATCTATCAAAGAGGTTATTCGCACATACAAATGAGATATTCAGATCTTATCCAATAGAATTCCACTCACCCTTGAAGGAAAATGATATTCCTGAAGGAGATATTAGTTCGTCTTCAATTGAATGAAATAGCTCGAACCGTATAGGGCTATCACAGAGTTTCGGGTAAGCATTCATCTTAGAGTTGCAAAGACCTTATCTTGTCTCAATAACCTGTAAATATACTTACTTCAAGGATTTCTGTGAGGATTTAGTTGGACAAATTGTTCAGTCACCTTCAAAGGGATTTACTCAGCTGATAATATGAAATCATTGGAGAAAGACAAGACGGGCAAACCGAACCCTCTATAGATACACGACATCCGTCTACGTCCGAAGATGTACAGTACGACATACCTTGACGACGAAAGTCAAAAGTTATATCGTGGTATGCGGATGTACGTACTTACTCGATGTCCGAAAGCACTCACGGGAGATATCCCGAAAGGAATGATCTCCCGCCAATCTCCATTGAAACAAGATAGTATGACATTCTATCGCAGGCGCTCGCATCATCGAAAACAAGACAAAGTTCGTGAGAGGAGCAACATCTCCCGCGAAAGAAGTCTGCACCACAGCTGTCTCTACTGTCAGACTTCCCCGAAGTGGCTGCAATATGGGTCGTGCGATGTCCATCGACGGGTCATATCACAGATTGGGGATCTCTGAGTGTCTGACGGGCACGTCCCTTCTGCAACGAGACGGGCTCGTCAGATGGACGATCGGACAGTGTAGAATAGGAAGACCATCCTCTCAGTAGACTAGGTCTCACCGTAGTTTTGAGTATCTCGTTAACTCTCGAGTACCTCGAAGGAGAAATAGAGATGATGTATGAATACCTGCAGAGATACAGTACTTTTTCCGCGTGACTGTTCTCTAAATTGTGGGGTCTCAATAAGTGTCGTTCCTGACACTTGGAGCGGAATCTTTCCGTGAAGTTATGAAGTTTGTCAACGTGAAATTCCGGTTATGATCTCTCGTTCTGCAATTTAGATTCCAGCGTATGAATAAATGAGCGATGATGTTTGCAGGCAACAAGAGATTTTGAGAAGCCAATATCCAAGATTTGAACGCTGAAGCAGACAAGATGACAAGATTGTCATTTTGAACAATTATGAGTTTACACTTCATAAAAAAGGAACTGCTTTTGTTTTATTCCGTTTGTTTGGCGAGGTTTAAATGTCGATGAATTGAAGTTCTGTACATTGCAACACATCATTTTCATGAATCATGGCCTCCAGTTGGAACCATTGAGTACAAACATATTCTCATACCGAGCTGCAACAGATCTAAGTTTTGATGGACACATGTGATAAGACATTCACATTTAGAAGCTTTGGAGTGACTTCATGAATTGTTTACACGCCTCAAGGAGATTTTTTAGAAGACTCAGAGTGTTGGAATCGCAATGTATATACTCTAACCGAAAGGGTCGGATGTGGATGATCATGGGTGGACAAGAAAGCATAATGACCGGTACTTTCGATTTTATTTTGGGTTGGGTTCTTTTCTAGAGCACTTACTCGGTAGAAAGAAGGTGCATCCGATCAAATTTTTCGTTATTTTACTTTTACAAATCTCAAGCAGTATCATTCTTTGCCACCGCAGATCAGTCAGAAGTTTCCCTCACAATGATGCATGGAAGCCGATACTTTCTGGCGGAACATACTGTTTTGTTTAGTTTTGTCATTGCTCACAAGGCAATGTAGCCTAAGGCTAGGAGCGAGGACCAAATACAATGAAGTCATTCTTTCGTAACAGCCGATTCAATTGTCAATGAAATGATGCAGAAATAAAAAATGGTAACTCCAAAACAATTCCTCACCCTTTCCAATAGCAGAGCCGAAGATCAAATTGAAAACTCCAACCGAGCAGTTTCCTCGTATCAAAATCGGATGAAACCAGGTCTGCCGTTCCCATACCCTTGCCGATGATCATGGAGTCGGCAATTTTACAGCCGTATCACAGCCTTCATTTCTCAGCTTGTGAACAAAACAGATCTCAACCTGAACACCACCCCAAAGACCGAGTCTCACACATCTCAAAGTCCGGACATAAATGTACTCCATGATTCGCAAAACGTCATCATGAAGTCGCGGACATCACATCACAAACCGCTGAAGAAGGGCCAGGAGCCGAGTCTGTTTGTGTTCGGACCGAGGGAGAGGAAGAGGAAGAGCAGCGCATGTGAAATCAACGGAGCGAGCCAAGGGGAACGCGAAGGAAGCAAGGCCGTGTTGGGCCATGCTCAAGACGCAGAAAGATCCTTAAAATCATTAAGGCGTGTCGAAAGTGGGTGAACTAAAAGCAGCTCCCGTGGCCTCCTCCACTGCTGCTCAGTTTGACGAGAGTCAACGAACTCCACTTCCGTCCAATCAGACTCTACACGAGCCGATACGGTCCATGCCCTCCCTCCTGCCCGCCTGCCCGCGTGTGTACTATACACAGGAAGTACGAGTACGTATGACTGACTGACTAAGCCCAGTGAGGACCGAGTACTGTACAGTACCGGGTACCCAGAGACCGAGCCCCACCTTCCCCGGCCCCCGGAGATACGATTACGCCGTAGCGTGAAATAGGTGTACGTAGACGACTAGGGACTCGGTACGGCCAGCTTGGATAAGCCCCTGCCTGCCCCCCCTGCTGCGTTGGAGCGGCCGCATTGGGCGCGAAGGCAGGACCCGCGAAACGCGATGCCAAGGCGCAGCTCTCCCGCTAAAATTGGAATGGTGTGGGGGCCGGGGCTGGGGCTGCCGGGGTCAAGGGGGTGGAGGGGTGGTTTGGTGCGGAGGTGTCAAGAGGATTCATTGACTAATCGTCACATTTGGCAAGGAGAATGCGTCCTGTCAGCGCAGAATGTGACGGGATTTGGTCACTCAGGAGCTTAATTAAGGGGCGGGAAGTGGAGTGGAGTGTTGAGTGGATTGTTTGGTCGGAATTTCTGAAGGTCCCACAAGTTCCCTTTTGTAGCTGCTGCCTCGTGAGCCGAAGACAGGCAGCGGGAGTGAGAGAGTGAGGGAGAGAGAGGGCGAGGGCACTTGGACCCCACCGGGCTTCTACCATTACATCACTCTGCCTCGGATCGTACCTGCTGCTGCACCTAGTGGGGTACGAGTCGACAGTAGCTGCTGCCATTGAGCTGAGGCAGAGCTCGAGAAAGAGAGGGAGGGAGAGGGAAAGACTCCTTGACTTGATCTCTCATTGGAGTCCAGCGCGTTGAGCTCGTAGGAGGAGGGACCTCTCTGGTGTTCGCTCCGTCTGTCACCAGGAGGGACTATTTGTCGTGCCGAGCCTACATGTCCGTGTCCTGTTCGACAAGCCTCACCTGCTGGTATTATCACAAATTCCGCCTTATGACTGCTCTCTGTCGGTTCCTTGAGGCGCGGAAGCCATTTCGAGGGGTCTAGCTTTCAGGAGGGCCAAGTCGGTGGAAGTCGTGTGTGTGAAACCTCCTTGCATGGTCACAGCTTTAAAACACAGTAATTTCTCTGGTCGGCGTCAGCACAGCTCGACTCAGTCAGCCGGATGCGAATTGTCACGCTCGCCGATTATCAGTTCCAATTGAGGTACGATAGAATTCTCAGCTCGTGTGGAAGGCACCTGTTGGACCAGGGGAATCGATGGGTACTTGTGAAGCGACTACTGACATTCATTGACACACATGTTCTGAGTTTCAGTACTTCCGCATGCCAGCTAGAGCAATGCCCGTGAAAATTCTCAGAGGACCTATCGACACCTGGTCCTCGATGATCATCTGGCAGCACGAGAAGAAGCTCTCAATCTGACCCGAAGGAGCTGATTTCAACCCTGTACCCGCCGAACAGGTAGCTCCTGCGCAACATTTGCCCTGACGCCGCATCCTCTGTATGGAGCTGTATGGGCATGGGCCGAGACAATGTAGTTGTGATGACCGTCAAAGCGGGGATTTCACCATGTAATTAGCTTCGTGCCCAGAGCCTCCCACTCGACGAATCCTCTGAAAGCGCTGCTCGCTATGTGCACGCAGCTGGGACACGAGGCCCGTACACATCGTCTAAACTAGGCAGATAGATATTCCAGAATCGAGAAGAGAGCACTGCCTGCTGCTCTGAACGAGCTCTGTAGGTTCTGTGAAAGAGGGATTCTCGACTCCACCCCCTTCCCCCTCATGCCCCAGAGAGAGAGAGAGAGATAGAGCTCAGGCTTGACTTCACAAGGAGAACTGGCTGGCTCCTTGACTAGCTGACTCATCACGGAGTGGAGTTGACGACGACTTCTTCAGCACAATGGAGTTTCTTCTGTAGAGAGACTAGCGGAGGTCGCGGGGCCATGCCTGTGCGTGCGGCCTGGGACAGCTTCACTAACAGACCGATCGTTCGCTCTCATTGTTCTTCGTCCCGGAGCCCCGGTTTGTCACAGAGGAAGAGCGAATGCTTAGCTCGTGGTGGAGTGCTGCGATGACTCCACCATCGACACTCAGTCCGTTCACTGAAGCCTGTCTCTTTGTATGCCTGCCTGCTGTCTTATGGAGCCGACCTCGGCTCGGCTCGTGTAGTGTCTGTAAGCCATGCGTGATTAGTACCAGCTGTAACTCACGGACTCCACGAATGTGGATTGCTCTGGCAGGCTCCATGTAACGATATCGTCGCAGGGTTGTGTGTGCTCATGCTTTTGGAGAGAGGGAGCTGGTACGAAGGGGGAGGAGTGAGAGCATGACCAGTGGCGCAATCTGTTCAATGTGCAGGCGTGGGAAGAGCTTCGGAGCTAGGCGAGAGGACGAAAGCTGAGAGCTGCGGCGGCATTTCATCTCGGCGGCGGGGCAGCATGACGAGGGAGCTTCGGAGGCTCTCCAGAGCGAGGCGGTGGATATCCGGCCTGCTTACACTCTCATGCTTGGTCGACCTCGCATCGGCTTATCCGCTATGCACTTCCATGGGTAAGCTCCGTCTCCACCCCTGCCTGGGCAACAACGACATTGTGTCAAATCCTCGACAGCACTGCTTGCCTGTGTGCGCAGAGCGCAATGTCTGAAATGCAGAGACGCCATGCTCTTCTTGCATCCAGCTTCAGGGCCAGTCTTCGAGCCGTCAGAGTCTCGAGGCTGGGCCAGAGGTTGCTTTCTAGTCTTCTGTCGAAGAGGGATTGTAGTTTCCAGTGTCAGCAGTCCAGCAGTCCCTCCCGTGCTTCTGAGCCTTGCAGTTTTCTCGGGGAAAGCCAGCAGCTCCATGTCCGTCCTGTGAAGATGAATGCTCTTCTGACCACCAAGAAGCGAGGGAAGTGATGTAATTTGTCGTTGTTGTTGCATTGAAAACATTTGACAGAGGCTCCTGTGAAATACTCGCAAAATCTGGGATTCTGCACTGCGACGGAGTACAGGGACAAGGGCTGCTGCTCGCCTCGAGAGGACAACCGGACGAAGATGACTTTCGACTCCATGAACATCACCGACGCCAACTGTGCGGCCATCGTGAAACAGATTCTGTGCGCGGTAAGTCGGAGGGTTTCTGTCGATGAGTTGGAGCTCAGTAATTCAGTGATTGGGGGGTGAGGTGAGCACATTGTCATTGTCTTGGCACGATTCCCGTCTGCAATGCGTTGCTCACGAAGAAAATGGACCGAATTTCTCGTGTCGCGCAGAAATGTGATGCATTTTCGGCCACTCTGTTCGGGCACATGAACCAGGAGAACAGGAAGATTCCATACCTGTGCACGAAATCGTCGAAATCGAACCTGACCACGACGACGGGCCAGAGCTACTGTCAAGATGTGTGGGAGGCCTGCGCCAGCGTGCCGATGAAGAACTCCATCTTCGCGCCCGTCTTGCTGCCGGGAACATCGCCATCGCCGAGCTCGTCGTCCAACAGGAATTTGGCGGCCCAGGACGGATCCCTCGGCAGCGTCTTCAAATCCAAGGACCAATTCTGCGCCGTGATGGGACCGTCGGCTTCGGCGGGAGACGAGTTCTGCTTCGATGGTGCTCCCTTCTCAGCGCCTCCGGCCCCGTCGAATTTCACCTTCCCTCAAGACATTTGCGTGGAGAAGGTCGGCGAGGATGCGTATCTGAACCTGGTTCCATTCCCCGATGGCTCGAATCGAGCAGCCGTGTCCAATCAAGCCGGCACTGTGTGGCTGGCCACCATCCCCGAGCCCGGCAAGGCCATGGTCTACAACATCAGTGCGCCTTTTCTCGACATCAGCGACCGAGTGACGAACGAGAACGAGCTTGGCTTCCTCGGATTCGCCTTCCACCCCGACTTCAAGACCAATGGTCGCTTCTTCGTGTCCTACAACTGCGACAAGCAAAAGTGGGCCGATTGCGGCGGCACCTGCGCCTGCAACAAGGAGACCAACTGCAATCCGTCCGACCTGCGCAGCGGCCAGCTCGGCGGCGATGGCGGCACCAACCCCTGCCGCTACTCCAGCATCATCGCCGAGTACACCGTGAACTCGTCGGTCGATCCCTCTGCGTCGCCTCTCAAGGTCTGTCAGCTTCAGGAGTGAAGTGATGGATTTCTCAATTGACGAGAAATTGAGATAGTGTGTTTCGATTGGCAGCGATTGCTCTCGAATGTCTGTGACTGACAGGAATGTGCGTGCTTCTGTGTGACAGGCGGAAGTGGCGAATCCGCTGGAGGTGAGGCGCATTTTCACGATGGCGCTACCCTATTCGACGCACCATGCCGGAGGGCTTCTGTTCGGGCCGCTCGACAATTACCTCTACTACATGCTGGGAGACGGAGGCAACACCGGCGACCCCTTCAATTTCGCCCAGAACAAGAAGTCCCTGCTCGGGAAAATCTTGAGATTGGATGTCGACAATCTTCCCAGTGCGTGCTTCATTCATTCATACCCCACACATCACCACCATGTCTCCGCATTCTAATCTCCTTCCTTCCTTCTTTCCCCACAGCCTTCTGACGGATACACTCTGAAATGTGCAGGCGCCACTCAAATCACCGATCAGGGATTGTGGGGAGAGTACACTGCTCCGAAAGACAATCCATTCTTCGGTCAAAATGGATCACGTCCTGAAATCTGGGCTCTGGGATTACGCAACCCATGGCGCTGCACTTTCGACTCCCAGAACCCGACCTACATGTACTGCGGTGATATCGGCCAGGTACTTGCCTCCCTACGGATTATTGATAATTATGAAATCTTCCGCAGGGACAGGAAAATGCCGGCATGAAATCACTGCATTATCGATGCTTCAAGATTGATGGCACGAGGGAGTCCGGTTGGTTTCTGTTTGTCCATCGATCCAGGAGAATTGTTGTCTCGGTCTATGGAGGACTGGGATTTGCCTCAGGGTCCTGTATTCGGGTTGGTCTGATTGAGGTGTGGGTTGCAGGAGAGAGTGCAAGAAGTGAACTTGATATCGAAGGGAGGCAATTACGGGTGGCGCATATTCGAGGGAAACTCGACGTACGTGCCTCCGATTTCACCGGGAGGAAACACGAGCGCCAGATCTGTGCAGGCCATTTTCCCGATTCTGCAGTACGTTCACGATCAGCCGGAGCTGATGGGCGGACCTTCTGCCATCACTGGGGGCTACGTGTCGTATTCTCGCGAGGATCCATGTCTGTATGGAAAGTGAGTACTCCTCGATCTCCCCTGAATGACAGCACTCCATGGACTTGTGTAATCGTCAGTCCAGTCCAGACATGTCTGTCGTCTTCACGTCCATCGATCCGCTTGGCATCCACCCACTGCGATGAGACCTTCGGCGATCAGTTTCATCTGACCATCTGCGAAGCCGGCCTGGCAGATGGAATGAATGAACATCGAGGAAGAGGTCGTCGTTTGTTGTTAATAAGAGTCGAGGAGTATCGATCATGGACGACATAGCTGCAAGAGCTGTGGGAGTTTGCTCAGAGAATTGTTAGGTCCAGCAGCAGTGGATGGGGTGTCTGTCGCAGTGGGCCTTATCTGTTCGATCGGTGTTGTGATTTCGTGCTTCGTTTGCAGATATGTCTACGCTGATTTGTTCGGGACGATGTGGGCATCATCCGAGGTGCCCAAATACAGCGGGAATTTCCGGTCGTCGCAGATCAATTACCTCTGCTCGGCCTCATCGCCGCTTAATTGCACGCTCGAGGGCAACAGCACGTCGCCCGAGTTGCAAGAGATCTTATCGTTCGGGCTCGACAAAAGCGCCAACTTCTACATTCTGGCGTCCAACGGCGTGTACAGAGTCGTGCATCCGCAGAACTGTGGCAGAGTGTGCACGGAGGTCTTACCTGCGCTGCCACCAATCGGAGCTCCCGCCCCCTCCGGCAGTCCTTCGTCCACAGGCGCTTCGTCTCCGGGCCCTGCACCTGCGCAAAACAGCGCCCGCAGCTCAAGATCTCAATTCCTGCACATCTCGTTCGCGCTCACGCTGGCGGCTCTTGGATCAGCTCTCGGCTTCATTCTATAGACTCGTAGAATGCACGCACCGGTCCCGCCCTTGGCTGATCTCGAATTTTAGTAGGTGACAGGGTTTCCTTCCCACCTCGACCGCCAATTGGCTGCAGCAGAAGTGGAAACCTCAGTGCAGGGCTTCAGGTCGAATTGAATCGCCGTGGCCGAATTCCGAATCCTCGTCGATCGGTTCTCGGCGTGTACTTTAAATACAAGGGCCAAGGGCTTCTTCACCCGAAGGTGAAGGCGGCGGCCCCTTCTTCTCCAGCAGCTGCTGAGATCGTCAGAGGGCCTCGGAGAATGTGGAATTGGAGTGCGGTGCCCAATTTCCCGAGTGTGCATTAATTTAGGTCCACGGGAGAAAGAGGCAAATATTGTTTGCACGAGAGCGAGGGCCTCGGTCGCGCCGTTAGGGCAGCGAACGGGGCCAGGAGAAATTTTGATGCAGCCCGAGCAGTGGCCGTGTACATGTTCCCCACCGGTAACGCTGATTCCTGTACAGCGATGTCCGTCCGTTCTTAAACACGAAATCAGCGGCATCAGTTTCCTTTTCTTTCTTTCCGTCCGTCCGTCGGCCGTGCTGGCAGTCAGTCAATTATGCATGCCGCGCTCTTGCCTTCGACTCTGCCTTGTCATCGTCCTCCGAACAAGAGTTTTGAATGAATGGATGGATGAATGAATGTCTCTGCTCGAATGGAATAGCCCGTCCGTCCGTCCACTGTCGCCCGTCCTCGCTCGCTCGCCCGAGCCCACGAGCCGTGGACGCCGTCGGAGGTACAGTATTGAGATCCGCGTAACGACCGAGGGCCGCTGACGCGCGACGGAAGGCGCCGACCGGGGCCTTCGGCACTCTCTACCCCGCTCGCGCTCCTTGTCGTATGTCCGCCCAGCGCCGACCGAAGCGCGCGGAACTCACTCGAAAGCCCGCTGAGAAATTTTGTCGGCCAAACGGCGACCGAACTCCCGCGGCCGTGCCCCGCACTTAAAATCTCTTAACCCCTCGGTCGACTGAGCCCCCCAATCCTTCCCTAGCCCCAACCCCTTCCCCCCGAGGCGACGTGTCCCGGCCGCGAACCACAGCGAAAGAGAGCGGAGCCCCGTCGACGAGCCGAGCGCATGCTAGCCCCATGGATCAGCACTCTCGGCGACGCGGGAGTCGCTCCCGTGGCCTCACGGCCGAGCTCCTGCGAAGAGCGCAATTCTTCGAGGATAGGGGACGACGGGTGGTGGTCAGCGTACGTCGGGTGGTAGGAAAGCGGCGTCCTCCATTGTCGTCGGCGAAGAAGAAGAAGAAGAAGAAGGAGGGTGCATCGCTAGCAGTAAATGGGGCGCATACTTTTTGAGAAGAGTTTTGAATTGATCGGAAGCGAGAGACAGATCCCGCAGTTTCTTCATAGGGCTCTCGCGTAAACTACACGGGCACCAGTCGGACTGTCGAGCTGTTCTAGCAGATTTCGACGCCTGGTGGATCGGCGATGTCGATGGAGCTGATTGCAAAGATACCTCTGCAGTCGTCTTCCAGCTTCGGAAACGCCTGCAAATCCGTGAAATCTGCAGTGCCCGGAATCGTTGCGGCACCCCAGAGGTTGCATAGTGTGGAGGGAGGCAATTTCGTAGGAACGCCGAAATTGAGGAGCGAGAAGGCGGAACGCAAGAGGCTGCTCAGCGTGAATGCAGTGGCTGTGTCGGACAGAGCGACGGGACGAAGAAATGTGGAAGGTATGTGGATCCGTGTGCTATGTCCGTCGAGGAATATGCAAATTCTGAACTTGCCGGTTTTCCCATCGCTTTTGTTCTTTCGAAGTCGATGGCGACGATCACTCGTCGCAGCTCACAGGCGCTCGAATTGGAAAGCAGAATGCCGAGTGCATAGATATTTCTTGGGATGGAGGAATCCTGTAGGGCCTGGGAGCTCGTTCAGGCTCGCTCAGGCCCGAGCAACGACGAGACTTCTGTGAGTCCGATTCTGAATTTGCCCTGAATATCGAATTTCTGAATTCCCTGCTTGCCTTGTAGGTATAGAAGAGACGGACGTAATCGTCATCGGGAGCGGAATCGGTGGGCTCTGCTGCGGAGGACTGCTCGCACGCAATGGAGACAAGGTGTTGGTGTTGGAGAGCCACACGATCGCTGGAGGAGCAGCGCATTCGTTCGAAATTAAAGGTTTTCACTTCGACTCGGGACCTTCTCTGTTCTCGGGACTCACCTCGAAAGGGATGCAGGCGAATCCTCTAGCCCAGGTGGAAGAAGCTCCCAGTTGCACATTCGGAATCCCATCCCAACCTCATCCCATCCGATGGTCTCCTAGCGTAGCCTCCTCCTCTCCAATCCTTGCACCAGTCGGACGCTGATCTCATCGGTCTCTGATGGCGAGTTGGCCTTCTGACAGGTCCTGGATGCTCTGGGTGAGAGCGTCGAGTGCGTGAAGTACGACGGCTGGATGGTTTACGTTCCCGAGGGCACATTTTACTCTCGCATTGGCCCTTCCGAGTTCCTCAAGGTGTGTCCGCTCACGTCCGAAGCTCCAATGGCTTCACCTCGAAAAGTAGCCTGGACATTCGCCTAACCTCCATCTGAATTTCCATCTGTTATGAGCACGAGAGTCCTCGATGGGATACAATGTCAATACGATTTTTCTGGCTTGACACCTACCCGAACGAGCACGACATGACCGAATGTTTTCTGATCCTCTTTGCCACAGGATTTAGAGAAGTTCGGAGGCCCAGGAGCTGTGGAGGAATGGCGAGCTCTGCAAGTGAGTGTGGAATTCCGGAGCAGGAATAGATGGGCCCTAGATGTTGTGCATCGGTTGCCTCGTCCAGTTTAGAAAAGGCTTCTCGCATGCGCACGCAGAGTGTCCACAATCTCCCTCTCCAGTCGTGCTGAACGTGAGCATGTCGTTGGTGCTCGTAGGAGGTAGTGCAGCCGCTGTCCGGGGCAGCGATGGCCTTGCCACCGGCAGCTCTGAGAGGCGATCTGGGGGTGGTCCTCACGGCCTTCGCTCGCTACGCCCCCGGCCTTCTCAAATCGTTCCTCCGAGCAGGCGCTATGGGAGGTCCCAACAAGCTGATCGGCCCTTTCTCAGACGTCGTCGACGAGGTGGGAGTCAAGAACCAGTTCATTCGGAATTGGGTCGATCTGCTGTCCTTCATGTTGTCAGGACTCAAGGCTGACGCCACGCTCGCAGCCGAAGTGGTGAGCTCGTCCCTCCCTCCACCCAATTCTCACATCCAGCAGTAGACTTGCTTTTTTGCAGCTCGTGCGCCAGCCGCAATTCGGACTCACCAGCTGTCTGTATACAGTAAGAACCTTCTACTGTCTATAGTCTTCATCTTCTTCATCGTCTTCGGGTTTCCATGGTCTCCCCTTTCTGCTTCGTTTCGTCGTTGGCATGTCCCTGCCGAGTCCTGGATGCTACCGACGACGGCATTATCATGTGTCAGCGCAGCAATTCAGACAGAGCCTTTGAGAAAATGAATGGACCTGGAATCTTCTGGGTGTCAGGTGTATATGTTCGGAGAGTGGTATCAGCCTGGATGTACGCTGGAGTACCCAGTCGGTGGCTCAGCAGCCATTGTCGATGCTCTCGTGCGAGGACTGGAAAAACATGGAGGGAGGCTAGCCCTCGGGTCTCATGTCGACGAAATCCTTGTGGAAGGAGGACGAGCTGTCGGAGTCCGCTTGCGCGGTGGCAAGGTGAGTTCGTCTGTCCTTCGCTCTTTGCCCCTTTCATGATGTGCATCGACATGAAACTCACTCACCATGAGAAACCGAGGCAGAGATACCTTCTCCTCTCAGAACCTCCAATTTAAAGAGCCCAAACTTGAGTCGAGACTTACCTTCTTCGTTTATATACTCATATCACTTCGAGAGCCTAAACCCTTACCATTGTAGAGGAGACTCATTGACGATTGATGCTTGAACCTGCGTCGAACAGGTCATCAAGGCACGCAAAGCTGTTGTGACCAACGCCTCGATGTGGAACACTCAGTCCTTGCTGTCCAAGGAGAATACTCCAGAAGAACTCCGCAGGCGAGCCGAAGACACACCTCTATGCGATTCGTTCATGCATTTGCATCTCGGTATCGATGCCAAGGTGAGCAGCTACCTATTTTATTGATAACAGTGCGGCCTGCGAAATTGAGGGAACGACAGTCTTGCTAACTACAGTTCATCGATGTTCGTTCAACCTCATGGAATAATAAACGGCAGGGTGTTCGTACCAAGAACTATGAATCAGAAAGGAACTTCTCCACTTACTTTTTTGAGATGTGGCCGGAATCGGTGACCCTACTGTTTCCTTCCAGGACTTGCCTGCAGATCTAGAGATCCATCACATGATTGTCAACGACTGGGACATAGGAGTGGATGCACCACAAAACGTAGTGGCGATCTCGATACCGAGTGTCCTGGATCCGAATCTTGCACCACCAGGGAAGCACTGCCTGCATGCATACACTCCGGGTACAGAACCATACGACCTGTGGAAAGGTCTGGATCGTAACAGTCAAGCGTACAAGGATCTGAAGAAAGAAAGATCAGAGGTAGGAGCTGCCCCAAATCCTTGCTTTTTCTCCGCATGATGTCCAAGAACAACCAGTAAACTACTCTAGCACAGTTCATATGCAAGCACACAAGGTTTCAAGAGGTTGGTAGAGATGCGTGCCATCATTCACAGACACGGATAATTGTCACAGAGATCACCGGAGGAGCAACATGTCGTGATCATGAGCCAAGTCGGTCCACGTACAAAATCCAGGCCTAGGACATTACAAAAAATCTGCAACTCAATGCGGCTCTAGCTAAAATTGAATTTACTGTACTGACTTCTGCATGCTCGGATGTGATCAGGTTCTCTGGAAAGCTGTGGAAAGGGCTCTAGGGCCAGGTTTCAGCCGGGACAAATGCGAGGTGAAACTGGAGGGTACGCCTCTCACACACGAACGCTTCCTGCGAAGAGCTCAGGGTACATACGGCCCAGCCATTCGAGCAGGGCAGAGCACCTTCCCGGGCCATTCTACTCCAATCAAGGGCCTGTACTGCTGCGGTGATTCCACCTTTCCAGGTATCGGCATACCAGCAGTCGCTGCCAGTGGGCTTGTCGCTGCCAACACCCTCACACCAGTTTGGGAGCACATCAAACTTCTCGAAACCCTCGGACTTTGATGCAGTGATCCTGAGACCTCGGGCCAACAGTGGCCTTTCGTGCCGTAGAAAATTGGTGAAGGTGCACAGAGTACATGCCGGTGCGTGTTAGAAACTGTGCCTTTCATGACAAAGCCTTCTGGATTCGCAATTGGTGATACTCATCCGAAGCACCGGAGCACCAGTGCACGAGGATACATTAATACAAATTCTTCGTCGTGCCTCGTTCCTCGCACGTCCTGTTCTCACCCCTATTTTGCCATCTCCTTTGCTGCTTCTTTGCGTCTCGCAAGTAGAGTTTTGTAGTCGTGAGGTTTTTGGCTTGTACTGTCTTGAAATTAGGCGTTTAGATAATCTTCACATAGTTTCAGATGGAATTGGTGCTGGAATGTTTCACATAGCATTTGTGAAGGTATCCATGGGCACGATGGTTCTCGTCTGTAGTTGTTGGAGATGTGCACGTAAGACGAACTCCTTCGCTTCTAGCGTTCAGAATGTGTTTATATAGTGCATCAATTTCGGTGTGATGCTTCAAAGTAGCAGTTGCTACAAAAAGCGTGGACTCTACCTACGTCGGGCAACTCTTATGCCCGTCGTCGCGCTTGAGGGACAACTGCGACAACTTGGGTTCTGTGGCAGGTAGGCCACATCTGTTGCATCCATGCATCCAATTAACGAGGAATTGTTAGAGAGTTTCACATTTATCTGGTCGGTCATCACGATTATTCATCGAGAATGGTTTTCAAGGGCGTGGAGATTAATAATATGCGTTGTGGTGGGTGTGCACAAGTCACGAGGTTAAGCTGTCTCTCCAAATTTGCAGGTTTCCTTCTGAGACAACAGATGTCTACCTTTCTGCAGCATGCTTATTGATGAATGTGCGTGTGTAAGAAAACCCTTACAAAAGTGCAGTGTGTAGTGGAGTTCAAATTTCTGAAGGAAGGGATCCAATTCTTCATTCATGATTACCGACCACTTACATGAAGGAAGAGGGGTGACGACAGTTCTCTTGATGTACTTTCCAAATACTTTGTTCAAGACGTTACCGGAGCAAACGGATGCTTTTAACAGCTGCAAAACCTGAAAGGAGCACGCATTTCCCCAATAATCAAACCTCGTGATTTGATGAAACCTGCATTAAGTGGGCGTGTCGGCAATGCAGTATAATAGAAGATGTGGACACACGAGGGTGAGAAATTGGCGGGGAACAAAGACGTAAAGCCGTCCACCGTGAAAAGTATGAAATCAGTTGGCCACGTTGGTGGCCTATACTGGCAAGAAGAGAAATTGCCACCATCAGTGCCATAGATGCAACTGATGCTTCGGATGAATTACCTGCAACTGAGTGGTCACTCGTTCGATGATTATACCGTGAACATTGGAAACAGGCGAGGAATTCAAGCAGCTTGCAAAGCATTACGTACTGAAAGAAATTGACAAGTGAAGTTCCGATGTGGACGAAGGATTCTCACCTCTTCGGAACCGATCTGTACGTCGATGTTGTCCAAATCGCTAATCCGTTCTGACTGGATCATCTTCAAACTCGAAAGGCTTTTGATGGCCGAGCTCGGATAGATGTCCAGGTTGTTTGTAACCACGAAGTGCGTGCCTGCCTTCATGAAACCTGCAGTGACTCTCGAGTGCAGCCCAGCTTTGAAGTGGCCACCACCGAACCTCGAGTCGCCCTGGCGCTCGACGTCCGAGTCGACCATCTTACAAAGCGTCTCCATCTTCCTCTTGTGCCGTGGACACTTGGCTCCGAATTTCCTGCTCACGAAGTGGCACGAGACGCCGCAGCAGAAGTAGTTCACCTCCTTCATGTCCTCCTCCAAAGGCGCAAATGGTAGAAGCCTCGCACAGGTGGGAATTGGTGGCCGTGAGTCGAGCAGAACCGATTTGTCCACCCGGAGCAAAGAATCGTCCATCTTCACAACACTGTCGTATACACTGGACATGGCTGACAGGGGCGCCGCAGTTCCCCAGCCTCTGGACACCTCTCGTGGCGCCCCCTTGGCTCCATCCTTGCTGCCGGCAGCTGAGATCGACTCTTGCGATTTGAGCAGCGATGCGTCCGATAGAAGCTTGACGATGCTGCCGATCGGCAAGGTGAGGAAACTCAACAACAGATCGACGAAATCCTTACCCGCTTCCAGGCACAGCACTTGTCGAGTCACTTTGCTGAAGACCACAGTGACACTGATACTGTCCGGTTGTTGGTGGTTCTGCGGCTGCTGATCGACCACAATGTCGTCGCTCATGGATTCCGCTACGGTCGTTGACATACAGAGGGATTGATTGCTTCCCGTGGGAGTCATGATTGATGCCTGCGACCCTCGAGTTCCTTGATGCCCACCGAATTGATGGCTCTGCAGCCAGTCAGAGTTCTCAATCCTCCGACATAAACCCTTGGGCCTCAGTCATCTTCAACGAGACGACAGGTATGCATGACATTGACTCTCGAATTCGCCATCGAGTGCGCGAGTATTCTCAAATCCGAAAATACTCACGCAAAATTGAAAATCCGTTGCATTCGAAAACCCCGCCATCGCCACTAGGGTTGTCACCCTCGCACTCAATTACTCGCCCTTATGGACGAGAACAGCAGTCCCGTGGCCAGATCTCGACATGAGAGCTCCCTCCAATCCAGTGAACCGAAGCTCGCTGCCGCCAATTGATCTCGAATTTGTCATCTATGAGTCAATGCTGCACATCAAGAAGCGTATAATCCTCATTTTGTAGGTCAGTCTGTCGACGAGCGTGGATTCTGGAATCAGGAGGACATGGTCCCCACCAGTGACACTGTCCGAAAAGACTGTACATTCCGAAACGTCGAGTATCGGAGCACGAGAACTGCGGAGACCTTGCCTCCTGGTTCACCAAGAAGCGACCTACAGATCGACGGGGCGCACTGCTGTCGTCGTGGGCGCCACTCTGGGGCGCATGTCAGTGCTAACTGCTATGTTCCCGACCTCTCGCCCTCAATTCTTGCTCCGACACCGTCACAGACAATGGCGGCAAGCATTGGAGATTGCGATTCAAGATTGCATTCTTCCAGAGCTCGAATGCAATCTTGGTATCTTGACTTCTCGTCCGAGAGAAAATCGGACGCCTGGTTCGAAACATGATGGCACGATCATCCGAACCAGAATTCTTAGTCTCAGAGATCGCTGTATACACACACAGCTGCCAATGTGAACCGGAATACCTCGAACCATCAAACCGTAAGCAGTTCTCGCCTCACTGGACTCGCTCCAAGAACGATCTGCTGTCAAATGACACGGACTTCGTTGGGCTCGTCGCTCCTCGGGTGGGAAAGCTCCTACAGGTTCACGTTCCAGAGCTCAAGACAAAGAAACACGAAGCCACGCCGATTCGTGCCCTCCCGACTTGCACTCTCAGAGGCGATTCGTCCGACAAGCGGGAAGAATTCCGGCCTTTCCGCTGCCCTAAATTTCTGACAGTGTCTTCGTGAACCGAGCGCTTTCGCTTGACGACTATTTCGGAGCTTTCCTGAATTTTCGACCTTCCTCGAGACAGTTCGGAACAGTCGGTCGGGGACTCTGTTCCGAGCCCGCTCATGGGACCACGTGAGCGCGTGCCGCACGAATCTACATTTCACAACACCGAAGCAAAAAGCATTCGTCTGATCTAATCGATGCGATCGGAGCTCTGATCGATCGCTGGCGTGCTGCTCGAATCTACGTATGTTCCATTCGTAGTCGCGGGGTTTCCTCCTCACCTCGGCAGGTGGCGGCGCGCGAGAATCAATCGACAACTCATCACACAGAAATTCTCACCAGCGAGACTTGATTCTCGATAGGGTGTCATCGGGGCAACATGGGGAGAGAGAGAGAGAGAGAGAGACACGGAGGCTTCCATGTCCTTTCACCGACATCGCCGTGCGCTGATCTTATTCGAATAGGACTGTCAGAAACGCAGACATCGACAAATTGCGGCCGTACTGTCCTTCGATTCTAACCACACGCCATCGCACGAAAGCGGAAAGGTTGTGGAGAAAAACGACTCTGGCCAAGGGAAGGTAGTCGCCTGATTAGGGATCAGTGAGATCCGACGATCTCATCACACTTTTGTGATTTACACGCTCCCCGAGCCACGTCGGGCTCTGGACACCGAGCCACCACGGCTTTCTACAAACGGAAGGTCGTTCTGTGGTCTCTACTCGCTTCTATTCCGTTCTGGGGAATTGTGCGCAATCCCGGATTCTGTGAAGAAGCACCTTTCCGAGTGAAAACAGATAAACGCGATGAAAAGGTCAGCTTCTATTTTCACGCTGTTCCTCGTGTCTTCTCCCCGAATTAATCTCAAGTTCATGAACTCTCCAGTGCTGATTATTCCTCCAGCCGGGATTACCAGTTCTTTGTCACTTCATGCGCTCCACACGGATTTTGTTCTCGAAAAATTTCTCTGCCTCCACGAAATACACGTCTCGTGACTTAATCCGAGGGGAAATTCCATGACATTCAAGATAAAGAACACGAACGAGAGAATCCAAACCCCGTTTCCCATCCGTCCCTCGCAAGCTAAAATACAAACCCACGGATGGAGCCAAGCAAAGCTTGTGGTGGGCATGGTAGATGCAGCGCGGTAAGAAGAGCAAGAACATTTGTCCACGGGAAAAGAACAGGTTTAAGTGAGATGAGCAGATGAGCTGTAACGAAATCACTGCATCTGACGAGGTCATTTGTAATTTCGCCAGAAAAGACCAAAAGGCTTCATCTCCCTGGAATCAGATGAGCTGAATTTAAATTGCTGCCCAAGGCCGAATTTTCTTGAGCTCTGATATCAAGACACTCTCGATGACAGGACGGCCACTATCGTGACTGGTGGTCACAGCTGCCCTAATTTGGGATCAGGACACCAGAAACCACTCATCTCGAGACGAGGCTCTTCGAGAACAATAGCAAGAGACAACAATTTCGGAGACCTGCAGCAGTAATTCTTAAATGTTGCAGTTTTCGACTCGATTTTTGGAGACGCACTTTGTGACACGATATCGGTGAAGGGTAAAGTCTCTAGGAGGAGAGTCGAGTCGAGTCAAACTGAGATCCACGAAGATCGGGAGTCTCAAATCGAGATCTGTCACTGTTATACACTTTGTCATCTTCGTTCCTCGACCTGGTTGCCCACGATAGGCCACGATAGGACCTCGCTTACTGGGTCCACTCACTCGAGCCGCCATGGTCGACCTCGATCCTAGACAAATTCACTCGCCGAAGGCATTCCACAAGTAACTGCCAACCGTCGAGTCCGAGCTCATGGCCTCACACCTCGAGATGCTGCCGAATCGTGCAGATTGGATCGACAAAGACCGACCAGACAATCTCTCAATTTACGTGAACAGATTGTATTCGTCACATGAATACCGACGCTGTGGACATGGCCTGTTATTCTGATACTCCGTTTTCACTAAACCCTTTTATTCCCTTCCTTAAACCCATCGAAGCGAGCGAGTATCCGAGCCATCAACCTTCGTTGCCTTCGTTTTTGGATTCGTTTCCAACCACCCTTCAGAGATTTGGCTCGATGCGGTCAGGGAACGACGATGTCACAAGCGAGCTCGATCCATTCCCTCGTCCACTTGGATAGGAATTCGAAACAGGTTCTTCCCACCTGATCCAGCTGAACAGTGGCAGGTTTAAAAGCTCAGTGTTTCTGTTGGGGCCTGTTCTCAATCTGCGTGCCCTGGAATATTCCTTGACATTTCTTACACCGGCAGTGGCTGTAATCCACTCGTCCTGGTCCCGAAGTAAGCAATAAACTAAATTATTTCGGACATAGAATATGTCGTCGGCCATTATACGATCAAAATATTCACCTCATCCTACGAATCGATAAATAAGTCAACGAGTAGGTAGGTGGAGAATGTACGATGAGAATTATTGTGTCTTTTGGTCGTCTTCTATCATCAAATCACCGGTTTGACAGAAGAGAGTGGTGGTACATCACAGACTAGATAGCGGCTTCTAGCTTTGGTGGTTGTACAAACCTCCTTGCTTTATGCTTTCCGCTGCTGCTGCAGATTGCAACAGTGACCGTCGTACATACATTTTACTGCTGTATGGTGTCAGATGAATCAGATCGTGTTGTCGAAACTCAGTCCTCCATTTTGCCCTTACTTTGGGCGGTCGATTCATCGTTCTCCGACTTGTGAATAATCGTGATCATTGTTCTGATTCGATATCTGATGAAAACCTCGTATTCTTATGGTAGTGGGTGTTTCGACCTGAATCCCTTCCAACTTCTGATTTGATTTGAGAGCTGCAATTTTTTTACCAAATGTGAATTTCAGAACAAAAGCTATTGGTGGTGTTCTTATAAAAATATACATCATTGGACATAATTGGCTTTCCTAATCACACGTATGTTTTCATAAACCCTGGCCTTCATAATTTGGGTTGTATTTTTGGTGAGACTATTCTCTAGCTTTGTACGAGCGCAACAGCGTGAAGATGCAAACGAATTTTGTGTCGAAGTTATTGCAGTGCATCCTCGGCCAGTTTATCACATCCTAAATGCATATTCATAGATCGAAGTTTCAATGTAAGGGCAGAGGAAATATGTCTTCAGACACTAATTTCACATCCTAGTTAGTGTAAAAGATTTATAAGTTCAGGATGACATGATCGCCAACTTGAAACAACTTGCAGGTATCATGTATTGCAGAAATATTGTTCGCAAAGTCATTCTAACAGTACACAACACAACCAGTTGTCACATCGTTTACCATTTCAAGCCAGAATTGTTATTGCAGCTTCTGACCTTGAACTACAACAATGAAAAATTTGCTCCAAAACACCTGTTGCACTTAATCCAGATAATTTGTACGACGATTTGGTACATTTCTCCTTGTCGGTGTGGTCAGTAACATATACGTTCTTTTTGGTGTACCAACAAGCACGAAATCTGAATTCCAGAAAGTTTGTGCCAAAATGTTCAGATGTCTTTCTCTCTTCACCATGCACAATAGTCAATCAACATTGATTCACCTGCAAATGTCAATATTTAAAGTGCATTGTTCAGATAGTTGTACAAAACGTATAAAATCGTGAGTCATGGCGTACATTTTTTCACTCATCGTTGCTTCTACTTGTGAAATAAGCACATCGTCTTGCAAACATAAAGGCAAGAAAGAAAATGTTGGTAGCAGCAGATATCTTATTCCTTTCTTTATTTGCACGCTTTATATATCGGTAGCGCTTCTTAATACGGAATTTAATCATTATATATGGAAGTGGAAAAGACGAGTGCAAGAGTGAACACGTTCATTTTATCGGTACTTTCAGAGGTTAAATGATTTTCATAATGTCCACATCATGGATCATGCAGATGGGGAGAATTTATGGCAATATGCCTTCTATAGATGCAACAAATAAAGATCGTCGTTTGCTCACTGACGAGGTTGTACATGAAGTGGGTCGGTGAGATCAAAATCATAGATTTGATTATTCATATGGTATTTCATTTGGCTCATAGTTTGCATGACTTCATGCAGTTTGTCTGCGCATGTAGCTGTTGATTGCTCGTGCAGGAAATTATTACTATGCTGCAGAAAGTAAGAGAGACCGTCTTCAGACCTTGTTTAGATTCAGCCTCTTTGGAGTTCTCTTCAAGCAAAATCTATATAGAATTCAAGAGAGTTGATCGGAGACGCTATTAGAAAACCCAAAATTTCAGAATTTGGCAAAAAACGCCACATCTGCAGCTGATGACTCTTACATAACTGATATCACGTGTTCTTCCTATTATGTCTTTGACTAAGAGCGAAGAAACTCCTCAGTGTTCTAGATCGTCATGGCAAGGAAAACGTTGCATGACAAGGAGCACGGGAGCAGTCGTGGGTATCAACAGATGACTTGTTTCAAGATACTACGGTAGCTACAACAATGACCAGAAATGCAAACACGCCTTTCTAACACAAAGGGGGAAGTTTCAGCGCAAAGGAAACGCGTACTATATTCGTACCGGCGTAAAGCTGGACAGTCCATATGGTTATCCAAATCGTATGCACCCTCGGATTTGTTCTGGAAGGTATGTTGGTTTGGCTATATCTTGTTGTTGTCGTTGGCCGCTGAAAGTCAACAGTGCCATGACTTTATCCCACTCCTTTCCACTCCATCTTTCCAAGGAAAGTATTCCTCTGACTCACTTTCAGTTCAGTTCCAATCACAATACTTTTCGACTAGAAGTATACTCAGGACTGTATTTCGATTTCAGCGTTGCCGGGATCTTTTATTAAGAGATTTACGTCAGTAAGCCTAAACTGAGAGACCTAAAGATGTAGGGCACATACGGTCGTCGTCAGTCTCCCATCCATTCAATCGCTGCTTGAAAGTCAAATCACCGTACCATGCAAGCCATGGTAGGCCTAATGAGTAAAAGTAAAGCAGAAGAGAAACCATAGTGGGTAGGATTCTGAATCTAACGAAAGTGATAACATTCCCATAACCACAACATCTACACAAATTCAAAATAGATTGCCATTTTGTTGGGTGTACTGTTGTAACATAAATATGGACATCCTTGCTTGCGAAAGAATCAATCCCAGATGAGATGGTTGCTTAAAAGTCGATTCAATAATCTCGCGAAACTGGATCCCTTGTTGTATTCATTTTGCTGCTGGAAGAAAGGAAACAATCTTTTATTTTCCTCAAGCTCTACATATCCGTGTCGATGAAATGTTGGCTATTTGGGCATTCGGTAGTTGAATGAACACCTGTTCAAAATTGGTCTCGACAGGTTCATCATGAGTAAACAAGATGTGATACAAGATCTTACATCACATCGCTTACTAAGAAGGTTCTGTATTTTGGATCGATGTAAAAGTGATTCCCTTCAAAAAGAAAAAGAAGAGGAATTGAGTTCACAGTGACAGCTACAGTTGATCAACCAAAGGTTAAAATTACAAAGCACTGAATGAGACGAATCATGATCCGAATAAAAAAAGACGCCGACCACAACTGGAGGACGCAGAGCATCGAAACCTCGAAGTTTACAGCGGAGCAGATTACGGCTGCGCGAGTTTCTCCCCCTTCTATTTACAGCAAACAACAGTTCCGCTGTTCATGCACGAATCGAGCTGTACCGCCTGCGGGATAAACATAGACGCAGTCGACGGAGAAGGAAGTGAGTGAATCGACCTGCTGGAGCAAATCGTATGTCCGAGAGGATTGCATGATGTGCAATCCTCCAGGTAACTTTTGTGGGATGCAAAATCCATTTGGGGTGCGATGTGCAATCTGTATACGGAGGGAGGGGGGAGGAGCCCCGAAGTTACAGGCCGAGCCGGGAAACGAGGAGCCCTCGACCGGTCGGAACGAGAGTCATCCCGGGCGACAAAAGTAGCAAGGACAGGTGTCTCTTTCCGGGGCCACGGTTCCACCTGAGGCTCCGGTTCGACGACAGTCCTTAGCCGATCGCGACGCGACGCGACAAGGAGCACGCCGTTCGTGTAACCTGAAGTGCCCGCGACCGAAGAGCCACGCGCCGACCGAGACGAGCCCGGTAGACGCCGGCGGGCCCCAGTTGTCCAGAAGAAGAAGAAGAAGAAGCTCCGTTCTTTTGACCGGTCTCGTCAGCAAGACTCGCGACGTCTCGCTTCGCGACCGAGTCGAAGGTCGCGCGAGACGAACAAATCCGGCGCCCGACGATACCCCGGTGGGGGGGGTGTGGGGGGGGGTCTTTCGGACCGTTGGGAGTGGGGGGACTTAACTGGGGGATGGATGGGCCTTGGTCGGTAGTACTCGGTCCTCGGTCCTCGGTACGCGGCATGCTGGCCCCGAACGTTACAAAAGACCCTTTCCGTTGTTCCTTTCCGCCCTCCCTCCGCTGGCAGCAGCAGCAGGAGAAGCAGCAGAAGCAGGATGTACGTATTAGTATATCAGATGATGTCGTAGTCGAGATATGGTGTATGGATCTGTATACTCCTCGATCCGGCGGTCGAGAAGAAAGAACATCCACTGGAGCTCGCTCGTAGCTGTGCTGTGCATAGAGTTCGTGCTCATGCAGGCTCGGAGAAGAAAATCTGCAAAAAACAGGTTCGCCATAAAAGCTCCAGGTCGGAACGAGCCGCAAGGAACAACGTGAAAGATTATTTTTTTCCTTCCATATTCCATCTTCCTCTCCTTTTACTTTTTCCCCCCCCCCCTGCACGGCGGCAATGTCAACCGCAGTGCCTCTGACACCAATCGCCATCCTTCGCAATCCGTGTCTCATGATCGTCGGCAGTTTTACCCTGTCAGAGATTTGCACCTTCTGTTCTTGTTCCGTGGGAGCGGGCGATGCAGCCCTTCTGTAGCCCGAGGGGAGGGGAAGGGAGGGGAGGGGCAAGACGCCATGGAGCACGGGAAATATTATATAAACGAGGCGCAGGGTGTGAGTGGAAAAGTGAATCAGGCGCTGAAGGGTGCACATGAGTTCCATTAAATGTTGGACTGGCCCCATGAGTGTTGTTACCTTGCATCTTGAGGGGTCAAATGGGAGAAACCATCACAAACTTTGCATGAGATCTGGATCACAACCATAGCACTCTTTCTCAGATCAGCTCCTCATGTCACTGTATTCAGTATTTAACGGTCGTCTAAAACAAGGTTCCCTGATTTATACCCGAGTTGAGAAGGCGTGAGACGTCTCTCGAGATTCAATCAACCGAGAACATGTTAAAAAATGCTCAAGGGTAAATGGAGAAACGTATTTTTGTGGGACCAAACAACGGAGGGGTGTTCAGTGAACATCTTGCAACTATCTCACGACCTTACATCATGGAGTTCACTGTTATGAACTCCACCTCCAACTCTCAGTAGTTGTAGACTCTCTAATCAATCATCTAATACCACAATCCTTAGAAAGGTGGGAAGGTAAACCAAAAATTTATTTTTATGGTTGCCACGTCTTCCCGAACAGCCTTGAAAGATTGTGATGTAGGGGAGGGGAGGGAGAGTCCTAGAAGTCTCTGCTATGGAGGAGGAAAATTTGTCAGGCAGGCAATGAACGATAATCTATCCCAGAGGAGAAAAGCTCGGAGGGATGGATGGCAGGACAAGAGAAGGATGAGCTTCGAGGACTTTTCGCGCACACGAGGGCCCCGCCTGACAGGCCAGATCTCCACGTATTCCGAAGGATCATGATGACCGGCGAGGACAGGCTACGCCGTCGTCGTCGTCCTCGTCGTGAGTAACGAGATCCCGCTGACCGAGAGAGAGAGAGAAAGAGAGAAGGGCAAAGATGGCGGATTGGTGAAAAGAAGGAAGGAAGGAATTCGCGGGGGGACGAGAAAGATAATGTCGTGGTGGTAAGGTGGCGTCGGGCGGTGCTCTCTCTCTCTTGCGAGCTTCGATTCCCTTCTTGGTGTACAGCCGAGGCAACGACGACGACGGCGAGGACGAGGACGAGGACGAAGAAGACGAGGCCCAGAGCGCGAGGGAACTTTCTTGGGGTGACGTCAGAAGGCCGTGGGGTGTTCGCGTTCGCTGTACTTGGCACCTTCGCAGAGCTTGTCCGGAATGATGACGCTCTCGGCGAAGAAGAAGCAGCGCAGAGCAGAGCAGAGCAGACATGAGTGGCCGCATTGTGGGCGCAGGCACACGCCTAAACGCGTAGCTGCTGCTGCTGCTGCTGCTGGGCCGATTTGCTCGAGCCCTCCTTGCCTTTGACGAGTGATGGGTCGAGTGGGTTGACAACTGGTTGGCCTCGCTGCTCGCGATCTTCTTCCTGGTGCTGCGCTGAAGTGGCTGGGGCTGGTGGGCCGGCGGGAGAAGTCAGAGGAGGTGGAGCGAGGGGGCGTGGATGGTGATTCGTGCCGCAGCCGAGGCCGTCGTGACGTGGTGAGCGAGCGCAGCGGAAGAAGAAGGATCGGCGGCTGCTGGTCCTCATCGCTGGGAATTGTCTCTCGCGAGGAGGAGACGCAGACTCGGTGCTTTTTATTATTCCCGTCTTCGATCCGTCTCCTTCAAGAGACTTTCCCCGCACTCCAGCTCTCTCTCGCTCCTTGTGCCGCATTATGACGCGACTCCACCTCGCGCACCTTTTCTCGCAGCCTCCTCCTCCTCTCGTCGTCGGTCGTGTCAACTGTTGTGCGCCGGATTTCCCCACCTCATTCCTGTGAGCGCGCGCTCTCTCCCTCCCTCGCTCCGAAAAGGCCGCAGACATCTGAAATCATCCGCTCCATCTCTTCTCGTCCTCCCACCGCACCTGCGCTCGTCATCTTCTTCCTCATCTTCTTCTTCGTCGTCGTCAATTTTGCTCTGTTTTCGCCATTGCAGATGTCTGCGAGTAGGACGAAGTCGTGTTGCTTTTGGTGACGTCGGGTCGTGGATGAAAATCGAGGCAGCGTTATCGCGCATCTCAAATCAGAGACACGACACAGAGCAGAGAGTCGGGCCGAGAGGTAGATAGAGCGGAGAGAGGTGGCACGAGAGCATCGACGAGGCCATCGCGATGTTCCGTTCACTGGGTCAGAGTCTGTCGTTCAAGCAGCAGAAGGATGCGGGAGCAGAGAGCGACTATTCTGTGGAGTTCAAGAGCGGCTATGTCGATCCTTATGCGTCGAATAGCATAATTGACACGTCCGGGCCGCTGTGGGGGCCGGGCATCCGGGTGCAGCAAACGCCATCGCTCACCTCGCAGAATCTCGCACACTGGCGCAACTACAGCGAGCAGCCGCAAGCTCTGAACGCGGCGGCCGAGCTCGATAAATTGTACGCATCGCTTCCCGATGACAAGCTCGATCTCACTCTCAAGGACTTGGTCGACGCGCGCAAGGTTTCTCCCAAGAGCTCGCCCAGAGTGACGCCCGCCAGGGATGGCGACTCCGTCACCATCGGGGCAATTCTGGGCCGCAAGGATCCGAAGCAAGTTCGCAAGGGCGCCGCGAGGGAGGATGGCGGCAAGTTCAAGCCCAAGAACAAGGTTCACAATAGTCCTTCGTACTCGCTGCCCTTCAAGCTCCCGGCTCTCTCGCCCAAGCGCGACAAGAAGAAGCCTTCTTCCGCAGCAGCTCCAAATGTGTCTGCGGCGCGCCAGTCTCTGTCCTCGCATCTCAAAGAGCACGAAAGTGGACGCTCTGCCAGAAATTTCGACGCCGGATCCTCCCCATCCTTCCCGGACTACGCCGCGAGCTCGAATACGATCGGAGCCGAAATTGCGAGATCACGCTCTCCCGACGTACACCACCGCGAGAGCAGAGATGGTCAGTATGCCACTGATCATTTGACCCTTCGCCAGCAGCTGTCGCACACGCCCGAAGACACCAAGAGTTCCAACAATCCTCAATCCGCTTTGCCGCAAGGGAAAGCCTGCTGCCTCTGCTCAGCCTCGAATCTGATCTTCAAAACTCGCTGCACGGTAAATGTTCACAAGCTCCCTAATTTCGCCATTGCTGCGCGTGATTGAGCATCGTCTCATGTCGTATCATATATTCGTCCAACGTCAGAAGACTGCGAGGCGACTTTCTTCCGGCGACAGTCGATGCCAATTTCTCTAGTTGTAAATCGGACAATAAATATTTGCCTTCAATGTCGGGCTCGCATGAAATGCAGCTCTGCTCACCTGAACGACCATGGTCCGCCTGCTCGTTCATTTTGAAATAATATTTTTCTGCAGTCGCAGAGAGTAAGTTTAGATCGCTGCCACTTACTCGTAGAGAGGAACACAACTGTCCATCGTTCTTTCCAGTGCTGAGCATTCGGCATGTAATTGCGCAGGTCTGCGGGAGAACATACTGCTCCAAATGTGTGAAGAAAGGGATGGGGAGCATGCGAGATGGTCGCAAATGCAAGTCCACGTGCGTCGGACGTCCAGCCAATGCGAGGTACAAATCTTCTCTTGCCCAAGGTGTCTGCTTTCTCGTGCTAAATGCTTGCCGAGGCAAAGGGGCAAGTCATCGACACTAAACTGTCGATGCTCGAAACTTCTTTCCATTGCGGACCTCGGCCATTGCCTACCGAACGACCCAAAACAGAAGCGGTCGAATCCACTGCGGCCACTTTCTGTTGGACTCGAGTCGATGCGCCAAGAGCAATGTCAGTATTCAGTCGCAGAGTCTTTTGAGGCCGTCACAGTTTCTCCGCAGAACACTGTCCTCGTGTGCCCGTGCTGACAGTCCTGCGCGCTAGCAGACGAGACTCCATATCTCCGTGTAGAGAGTAGACCGGTCACCGGAGTACATTCACGCCCGACTTTACTGTCAGGGCCTCCTGCGCTTGTCCTTCTCTCCCGACTCAATGACGTGCGGACACGGCTGGTCGCACTCCTACGGGACATTAGTGCCTTGGAAGACCAGCCTGTCAGATCAGAATTAATGGACCTGTCTCGGCCACGCGCCGAAGAGTCAATGGAGGAAGCAAACATTGCTCCCCTATTCACAGAAATACGTATCCCCGGATACTCGTATGTTACAACGATGTGTACCACTGCAGAATGATTCCCGTCATTCTTATATTCGTGATGGGGTCTTCCCCGTCCTTTCAGCTGTAGTACTTCTCGTCCTTCTTCTACTACTGAAGAATTGTGCAGTCTGACGATATTCTGCCGCTATGGAGTATACTGTATCGATCTTCATTCTAAGAGCACATTTGGTTTTCGTAGATCATGGACGTCGAAATTGTCATTACATTGCTTGACTTGACGTCGGCTCATCTCCTGATGATTTTTTCTTTGTTCCCGGTGACCATCAGATTCGCGAAGAAATCTGGAGTAGGCTGTTGGCCTCTGTTCGGATTCAGCAATAATCACGCCAAAGTTGCAGAGACGACCGCCAAGATGGGTGGAGAGAGGCCCGCCGCTATGCGATATCAAGGTACATATTCTCCGCCCTCTGGCATTATCGCTTAAGAAGTGCAGCGTCATCGAGGAGTCACACGCAGCTCATGTGATTGAGTGATTGATTGAAGCTTTAGCCTCGGCGCACAGAATACAAATCTCGGTTCTTCTTTTGATCCACAAGCTTCCTCTCATTCCTGTACAGTCTTCACAGAATCTGACGCTCGATGCGACTTGGGGACATGGGTTTCTGCGAGTAAATTATAAATATGAATCTAGCTAAATATGCTAGCTATCGCTGAAAATACTGTTGAGGAACTCGTAAACCCAATAGAATGCCTCATTCTTATATTGAATTTACGGAACTACTGTATACTTCAACACAAGTGAGGGATAGTGGAGTTTTTACGAGGGAACTTCAGTTCCAAATGCACGTGTCCTGCTTCTTCTCAGGAGACGGAATCTGGACATGGAAGTAGAATGACCCGAGTTCTGTAGTCTTGTTGTACCTCTAGCAGTCACTTGTCGAAATTGATGGAATTCAAGAGAAGTTGAGCAGGGTCACCTTTCAGTTGTTTAAGTGTCAACTGTATGATGTCACGAATCTTTCCCGAAGGTAATTCTATTCGGCAGGACCCTTTTCGATGACCGACTATTCTCTCACACGGCACTAATTTGCTCGTCAACTTGGGGTTGGACTACAGAATATGAGATGCAGCGGAAGTCGTCATCGTATCCACCTTCAAGAACGAGCACCCACGGCCAACAAGCGTCTCCAAGACTTTCTCCTCTCACATCGCCGAGACAGAGCACGCAAAGAGTATCGCCAAGACCGAGCACTCGTCAACATCCTCGCCATTCATTGCCGACCCCGAACTCTCCATGAGAATAGTGATCGGTCGACCCACCGATCAGTTCATCACCACATCGACCGACGACTAATCTGAACCCTGCTTCTGCACTTTACGTGCATTGCTCACATTACTATGCCTCTCCAGCGATGCATTTGTCATGAATATCTGAATTGCGGGCATTGTAAGAGAGCCCAGCGAGCCTGGGCAAATCCGAGCCGCCGCATTCATGTTCAGCCCTTGCTGGAGCTATACTGGATTTCTGGAGGAGCCGGCCACTTTTAGTGTGAACTTTGATAGTAAACGTCATTTTTGCTCCCTATTCGCTGCAACTTTAACCTGGACCTGCTGCTGGCATCGACCTTTACCCTGCAGGTGATTAACTCAGTTAGCAGTCGAACTGTAATTTTTGTAAAATTTGGAATGTAGAATTAGCGAGGTTATCCTCTAATTTCATCAGAATGTTGGGCGAGTCCGTTCACTTATTTTGAATATATACAAGGGCTTGAAATGCCTTTATTGCACAACGGTACTACACATCATTTTACCCTTTAGTTGTTCACACCACCCAAGTGCCATGGTGAATATGAGATAAATTAATATTTTTCAATGGAGTCTACAATGCCTATATTTAGAATGAATTGTGTTTGCATTCAATTATTGGTTTTCATATTTTATCAATTGGTCATATCTGAAGTGAAGTTAATGTACAATATAATATGATTTTGATTTCTTTTTTTCTTTTATTCACAGATGATATATCTTATTAAAGATTTTATTATTTAATAAAAATATGTTATAAATTATAAAAACTTAAGTAAAAAATATTTTTTATTAACACTATTTTAAAAAAATTAATGTAATTTCAAATTGAACATTTTTTTGATAAATTTACATTCTCGTATTAATAATAGTATAAAAAATATTATAATATCATTATAATGCTATTTCGAGATATTGCTAATAATAATAGTTTAAAAAATACAACAATTTTGACTTCATAAAAATTGTAATTATGATGACAATAATTTTTATTTTTTAAATTATATCACGAATCACAAAAACATATGAATTATCAATGCACATTACTTGGATGCATCATGATAACTCAGCACTAAACTTATGATATCATTACTATAGTCATCATAAATATGTTCAATATTTATTATTTATTGAGTATCAATACTCATGATTCTATTTTTGAAACCTGTTTTTCAAATTTTCGATCGCGGAAGCGCTTGGAATACAATTTAGCACTCGGTGTCGAAAGAGGGGAATCCATCGGCAACATCTTCAAGATCCAGTTACTTCCACACTCGAACATGCAGTTTCATCCAATCAGGAAATGCTGTGGGTCCTGTAGTTGATAACCGTCTGACGATGCGTTTTGACTCTTGAAGAGGTTTTCATTTCGACTTCGTGGTGCTGAGAGTTCTGTAGTGCTTTTGGAAGAAATCCGAGGAAACCTCTGCAGCAGCCAGATCCTCGAGAGAAGGAATTCAGCGCTTATATGCTTAAGTACACAGGTTACCTGCGCTTATTTCATTACCCGGACACCAAATTATTTGAAGATCGGTTTATTGCATTACGCGTGAATCCCAGTTCAGAGCTCATCCACTCGATCAGGGTAAGCAGAAAACATTCGGATGATGGGTGTCCGAGTCTCGAGTAAAAGTGCTGTTCATTACAGTGAGGAAACTTTCTTCGGCCCGAATGGCTTGTGATGATTCAAGGCCATCATGCCCTCCGTTGCTCGAGAGCATCAGAAGGCACGCTACTCACCGATTACAGAATTAAGCGTGCACGAGCATGAGCCTCTTCGGATGTGCTCAACAGGTCCGCCCCATTGATGCTAGCGACGACGCTGAAGGTACATGCCTGCCAAAACAATCGAGGTCGTGAGCCCAGATAGCAATCCAGCCCATGAATCGATCGATTCGTTGACTCACTTGCATGATCCATGGCGTGACGGAGGACGAGCTCGGGTTGCCGACATTGCAGCCGTCGGGAAGAGGCTGCTCGTATTCATCCACCGCCACCGGCGGTCAGGCATTGCCACCTGCTGCAGGAGGTCGACCCAAACCTCGGCGGCGGCCCCTGCGTCTCTTCTGGAGGTGCAGTACGCTCGAGTCCCGACGACTTCGGTTCCCGGTTTCCGTTTACCGGTACCCACTGGCGCTCATCATCTTCGACACTGCCCATCCCCTTCACCGGATCAGAGACATCTGCACACCCGTCGGTCGCGCTCCGGTCACAATTCGTATCCCTCGAGGCTGCTACGAGCCTCACTGGCCTCCGACGTCTCGATCGATCGTGTGCGCAGCCGGAATTCCCACGCGCAAGTCCTTCCGGGACGAACTCAGCTCTAGTCTTCGATGACACACCCGCCACTGACGTGATTCACTCTCTTTGGGAGTGACATACGTGACACTAGAAGACGGGAAGGCAACGTAGAAACGTGAAGATTAATCATAGAAGAGAACGAGAAAGAGCATTACGAGACTGCAGTGACAATAATTCGTCAAGCAAGACCATGATCCCTGGATCTCTCGCTCATCACACGCTCAAATCTTCATCAGTGCTCTCCGTCCGATCCTCATCTTACAAACCTAAGCTTAACTAAAATCAAAATCATCAAACATCGATCTACATTTCCATGTCCTGTCCTGTCCTGTCATAGACACTTCCGATTTGATCTCTCTCCCTATTTCCGACCTTTGTCGACAAATTTCATAATCGGCCCCCTCCAGCTCTTCTACGAACATGTCTTTCCCTTGGCTGACCACGCCAGTCACGTCCAATTTGGATGGAACTTGAGATGACTATTAGAAGGACCATATCGTTGTAGAACGTCATAATGGCAGCCGGAAATTTGGTGTTACGTCTGACATATTTGCAATCCTGACTCCCTATTTATACAACGCCAACTGACTCGCGTCCACTACACTGGGTGCCGGGGTCACCTTCGGGCATATCATGTCCAGTACCCACACCCACCGTTCGTTGTAATCTGCCACGTCAAGGCATGCAAAAGCGAAGGTTTGGTAGAACCCTCCTTAGTATACCTTCGGTGTTTCCATACTGAAGCATCAATGCAATCACAAAGACAAACAAAAAAGTGTGTGGACACACTGTCAATCGAAGATTGACAGTGTGACGAAACTTGAATGTGATTAGCCCACCATCAGTTATACATATCAAAACAAGCTGCAGCTTGTTGTGTATGATCTGATCCAGCAAGCTCTTTCAAGGATAATCTAGTTCAAATCAGCAATATCAGGTTCACTTTTCATCATATTTTTCGCTAATTGTGGATAAATCAATGAATCAAGTGACAATCTTCCCTATTTTCAAATAATTTAGTATGTTAAAAACTCCACTTGATGTGTGCCACATTATCACAGGGATTTTGAGAAGCGTGATTTTTGAATTTTTGTTTCGATAACCACAAGATAGAAGAATTACTCGAAACTGTCAATGAGAATTTCACTTCAAAGGGGAAATAACAACGACGCACGGAGGTAACTGGGTTAAGCTTGAGATGAGTGTAATTAAGATACACGTTTAGACAAGGAATACTGCTCAAGTCTGTTGCATATGCAAGAGATAAATGTTGAGAAAGAGTTGATGAGAAACAGATCATGAGAAGGAAATGACGATACGTTCAGGATATAATAAGGGACTCAGTCACGCTTACTGCTGTTGCAAGAGGCGCTCGTCATGAGCACTAAGTACCCATTCGATCGTAGTATACAGCAAAGGCACAGACAGCTTATTAAACAGATACGACAAGCATTCTCCCCTCCGAGAAGAAAGCTTCGAGCAGGTACTAGTAAGCTACTTATTCGAATTCCGCATGGCAATCCTCTTATGTCCACAAAGCTTGAACACATCAAAGGGTTCTCTGTCAGAGCTCAGTGGCCTTCCGTCCTTGACGAATATTAGCTATGTACACTTGTCGCATATCGTCAGAGACTCTTCAAGCGAAATCTTACATGTACAAAAACTGTTCAGAACAATGTATCTATCCATCCAAGGGGCGAAAAATCTTGAACCTCGACTTGTACAAATAAATTTTCAGGCATTTCTCGAGCGCTGCGTGGACAATGTTGACGACAATGACACTAAACTCGGGACACCTACTACCTATAGCATGACCAACAAATTGCGGTGGCCTGGCCATGTTGTATATGGTAATCTATTTCCACCATGCACAAGGCTTTTATTTTGCCCTGGACTCACTAGAAGGGTGGCAGTAGTCTCGAATCACTATGATATACTAACCTATGCTACAGGGCGTTCTAATACAGACTTGGCACTAGACATGACAAATACAGTTGGTTCTGAAAAGCCAAAGCTGGAGTCCAAGTCATTTGACATCTTCCAAGCTCCTTCTTCAGGAAGGTTAAAATAGGTCGACAACAGACCTTGCGGCTTCATATGTTTGCAGGTCCCAGTCAATTCTCCTGTCCAGTCGGAATCGCTCGTAGTGGAAGGGAAGACATAAAGATATTCCAACAATATCTTCAAATTTCTTAAAAATGGATCCGTGTACAAAATTGAAGGCTTCTCACGCTCTTCGTGGGCCTGGCGATGCTTGTCAGATAGACTAATGTACAGTCAGAACGTAGGTCATCCTATTTTCTCAAAATCGCTTCTTCTCATATGATACGAGGCCGTGGACACCACCTTCGATTTGAGCCGCCCCGGTGCGTACCTGTGTACCCATACATATGCCATCAAACCGCAAACCGTTAGAGTCCATAATTTTCTCATCAGCAGACGAGTGCGCATGCAATCTATCAATGAGGTTCATATATATACCACGGCAGGATGCCTCAAGCGGTAACAATCCAACACCGGAACATAGCATCAAACATGAGAATAAATGTCTTCATGATGTGAAGTACGTAGGTGGGTAGTGAGTTCAGATTGGAAACTGGACTGACCACATAATGCTCATTCTCCACTAACATGATCTGGCAAAATTACAAAAATGAGCACGGTGTCTACAAATTTGAACGTGACATCGTTGAGTTTCAGATCTGGACGTCAAAGTCTCGAGGTACAGGGTTTGTGGAAGACAACATGGAGAATGCTGGGGTGGTAGAGTGGACATAGACGTGAAAGGTAGGAAACGTGTTTACATGTGGATGGTGAAGAGGAAGTAAAGGAGGAAGAGATTCAGGTGTAAGCCTATATCGCAGGACTTGAAAGAGTGCCTCGTGTAGATGCAGGTTCAACATAAACTAGAAGAGTCAATAAAACCTTTTCGAAACAAGATCTGTTATACGAACAATTCTCCTGAATGAACCAAGACTAGACGGGGAGATCCTAAATGTTAGCAGAAAGAATGAAGATGCGTACTACTGACGAATTGACCATTAAGTGCCTGGCGGAGGGGGATCTCGAGAGTTCTATGTTAGATCGCGTCAATGTGATAGTTTCACTATTCACAGTAAGGACAAGAGCACCAGGATCGTGAAGAGAATTGAATGAGTAGATCAGGAATATTTATTTCTACGAAGTGGGAGGAATAGCTGATGATCGAAAAACGACTAGGTAAAAGACGCCGCACCTCCATTGTGATGTTTCCACAGGAAAGAGCTCCTCGAGCTGCTGAAATACTCTGCAAGCCTAAATCCTGGAAGCCCTGCTTCACTGCATGCATGGTGAACGGAACCAAACGGAGAACTGATCCCTTATCCGCTACAGTTCCAGAAACACCCTGAGCTATCCGCATTTGAGACTTGTCGCCCAAATAACGAGTGTCACTTCCTTTGGCCTGAGCTTCGAGTGAACCCATTCCTCTGTACGCTTTTAGTCGGCGTCCATCCTAAACAGGAACCACAAAAACCGTCTGTCCAGAATATTCCGGTCCACGGGTAACTCGTAATGATAAAGGAAGAGACTTGAAGAGGAGGACGAAAGACAGGGTGTGGAAAAATATTTAGTTGCTACCATAATTGTGAGGTAGAGCCGAAACACTTAAGCTACTCGGCGAGTAAAGCTTCCTACCTGATAGAAATAGTCGCCTGGAGCCTCCTCCGTTCCGGCCAAAAAACTCCCCATCATAACAGTAGAGGCACCTAGGGTCAGAGCCTTGACAATGTGGCCTGAATTTGATATACCTCCATCGGCGATCACAGGAATGCCAACCACATTGGCCATTCTGGCTGTTTGATACACAGCTGTGGCCTTTGCGAAACAAACAGACGCGATGAGTAAGTTAGAATAATATGGCGCACGTGTTTCATAAACGGCACAAAAAATCACTTGCAGCATCTTCAAGTTCCAGTTCCAGCGCTCAGCCTCTTCCGTCATCATTGAGTTCGAAATCCCCTAGGAAACAATAGAACCAAAATAACCGAATTCCCGGATTAAAGCAACTTACTTGTCCTCGTCCAACCGCACACACCTCCTGGGTAGTACAGATCGAACCAGAACCCATTCCCACTCGCAGTCCGTCGACACCGACTTCAATCAAGTTCCTAGCTTGATGCGAGGAGGCCACGTTGCCACCGATGACATCGATGTCCGGATGTGCCTTCTTAGCATACGAGATCATCTCCTTTTGGTAAATGGAATTTCCCTGCGCACTGTCGAGAATGACGACATTGACGCCGGCCTCCACCAGAAGCCCCAACCTTTGCCTGTCACTTTCTCTAGTTCCAACCGCAGCCCCCACGAGGAGTTTCCCGTCCTTGCCCAGGGAAGGAGCTCCGAGCTTGGGGTAGGTAGACCTACGCTTCAAATCGGTTCGGCAGAGTAACTCAACAACCTCGCCATTGTCATCTACCAGGGGCAACAGACTCTTCTTGCTTTTGATCAGTACTGCGGAAGCATCCTCAAAACTGGTGCCTGCCGTAGCAGTGACAAGGTCCGTGGTCATGACCTCAGCAACTTCCGTCTTCCTATCTGAAACGAAATCAATGTCTCTGCTCGTCACAATTCCGAGGAGCTTCGAATTCAGGGTGCCATCTTCGGTGATTAAAACAGAGGAAAATCCCTTTCGAGCCTTCAGAGAATCAATTTCGCTGACTGTGGCAGAGGGTCTCAAGCACACGGGCTCCGACACGAACCCGACTCTCTGACTCTTCGCGTTCTTTACCATATTCGCCTGCTCCTCGGCCGAATTGTTGTAATGCACGAACCCAATCCCACCCACAGCTGCCATGGCTACCGCCATGGAAGTCTCCGTCACCGTGTCCATGGGCGACGAAACGCACGGCGTCCGCAGAGTGATGTTCTTACTCAGCTGCGAGCTCAAATCCACCACATCTGCCGGGAAATCAATGTACCCCGGATGCATAATAATATCATCGTAAGTGTACGAGAACTCCCTGCCAAAGATATCCGCCGCTGCCCACCCATCTCTGTAATCCCTCGCTCCACCATTCTGCGCCATCCTTTCCAAAATCTCTGCCGCCCGCTCGCTCGCCCCTACCCTGTTCGCTCTACTGCCGAGCCGAGCCGATCCCAGCCCCCGAAGGCTCCAGCAATTCCCGATTCGCAGCGAATTTATGTCCTCGCCACGGGAACGACGCCCGCACGAGCGAGACCCAGTGACGACGATCGAATTCGCAATGCGATCCGGAGGAGGACGAGGCTCTTTGCCTCTGCGGCGTGTCGGTGAACATTCGATGCTTTCTCGTGCCTGCGTTCGAGCAGGCAGAGCACAGGGGGTTTTGTGTCCGGTCCTCCACGGTCAGAATTAGGGTTTTGTGCCAGTCGGAGCCCCCCCGCTGCCCCCGCGGCCCAGCGGGGCAGGGGTTCTAGACCCACCCTGCCGTCGCCTTCACGAGGTCGACGCGATTGGACTGCGTCGTCGGACTCGTTTGCGACTCGGATCCGGCGGGCCACGACCCGCTGCGACCCCGGAAGGTCGGGCCCGGACGTCGTCGTTCTCGCGTCCCGGCCAGTGCCGCCGGCGAGCAGGACCGCGAATTCGCGAATCCTTCGATTCGGAGGTTCTCCGACTGAGGGAATGATGAAGATCCAGCGAAGTGGATAATAATGATGCGGTCGCGGATCGGCTACCAGCGATTGGCTGATTTTCCCCGATGGAAAGTGACGGGCAGAATGAACGGAGTGGGCCCATCGTCGGCTGGCTTTCGGGCTGAATATCGGCACCCAGAGCCATCCGCCAGATTTTCTCCTCTGTATTTCCTTCTCGGCGACACGGGAACGGGATCTTCGCGGCAAATTTTGTATTTGGCTAATCAACGCCGTACTCTCTTGGAGTATCTTCTAATTTTTTGTTTACTTTTAAATATATACGCTAAAACAGAAACCTCCCTTTAGTTGACACAGAAAAAATAAAAAAATAGAGGATAATAACTACCCTAAACACTTCACCAAGCCGACAAAGCAGCAGGAGGTACATACCGGCTACTTAAACAGGAGTTTCGGAATGCTTCCGTACACGAAAATTTTTCCTTTCTGTCGTACATAGTTGTCCAGATGTAAATGGAAACCATTTATTTCAGCCCAGATATTAGGTCGTACAGGAAAATTTCTGAACCTCGCACAATATCTTTTATGAGGAATTGGACGCAGTAGAATGATAACTTTCATCTGTTTGACCTTCGTTCGGAACACTGTTTTTGGGCACAGAAGATGGTCAACAAGCAGTTTCCCGTGTTGAGATAATTTTTTCTCATAAGCTATCCAAATGATAGTCTTAACTGAAATGACTCAATCGCAAAACCGACTGTAAGTAAACATAATCAATGTGTGCCACATAAGTGAAAGTATACAAAACACACTTGAACGGAAATATATCCCAAGCACACAAGGTCAATGTATCGAATACAATATATACATCGCGCGGATTATGTGACCAATAATTTTATCAAAAATCTAAATTCGTAATTATCTGTTTGAGTAATAGGTAAGGCATTCATACCTATCAAGTCCAACATGGTTTACTGTACACAAATTATGGGAGAAGAAATTATAAGTAGTTTCCATCTTTTAGAACATTATCAAATGTGATAATTTTTTAACACATGAAACAATCACTTAAAAGTAAAATGTTGTTCGAAAAAAAATTTCCAAATTTTTAACAATTAAACTTGTTCAATATAGCTATATTGTGAAAGGTAAACTAAGAAAACATTAAACACTCATGAGAGACAAATGTAACATGGTTCACCCTCGGGAAGGAGTGTTACGTACATCCGGAACTCGAGCACCTTTACTTCAGTTCATGTTCAGAAAGACATACTGTACAGTGAGAATCTCGAGGTATTTATCCCCAATCAAGTCAACCGTCTTGGCTATAAATAGCTAGGACCCGAGGTTACTCCTTAACTGGAGTTAACCTCAACAATTTTCCCTTCAACTCACGTTAAGGAACAATAATCTCTATAACTTACATTATTACTCCATGCAAAATTCTAGACAAAAACCTTACATAAAACCACTCTTTACACAAGAATCAACTAGAACTAATCCATAGCCATAACATGATAGAGTATTGACATAAAGAGCTAATTAAAAACTAACTAGCATAGAGAGAACAAAAATCTCGTAACCTATATGATTACTCTGCGGGATATTCTAAAAAGGAACTGCAATCTCCGGGCTGACTCTCACTTAGGTTTACCTCTGATGGCTTTGCGGTAGCGAATCATGGAACTAGAAGACTAGGATTCATCCTCACAGTAATGTCCCAAACACCTTCTCTCACAAACTCTCCATGTATCACTCCAACTCACACACAAACTCTCCTCACATCACTCTCTTCACATAAACGCAAACACACGTCGATACTCCAAGATACTCAAAAACTTCACTCCTTCATTCCTAAAACAAGTCCTCACACATGACTCTCCAAACTTGCTTGAGAGGTGCTACTCTACCTCTCTATTTATACTACTTGAGAAGTTACCATTGTAACATGTGGTAATTTCTCCTAACTTACTTTTACCTAGGTAAGTTTGACTAACACTCTCTATGTGGCAACATGCCATTGGTCTAGCTAAACCTTCTAGAAGTTTCCGGAATCCAAGGTTGATGTGGCGACATGCCATTGGAAACTTTTAAACTTCTACAAGCTTCTTAGCCACTAAGTCAACACTAGACTTAGTCTAACCAATCATCTTTCATACATTTAGTCAAACCAATTAAATCCAAGCTTCTAGTCAAATATCTAATCACTTGGAATCTAGAACTTTTCTATAAGACAAAATAGAAGTGCTCACTCCTTGTAAAAGACAAAATAGAAGTGCTCACTCCATTCTTCTAGAACTCCGCTAATTATTCCGCCAACTATAGACATTGTAGCTAAACTTAGTCATGACTAGATAAACTTAGTTATAATTAACTAGTTTAGTCATAACTAGCTAGTCTTAGCTATGCCTTGGCTAATCATCCTTAATCACTTGATCACTTCTAAGACTTAGTACATATGTGCAACACCCGGTCTTACAGGTCGGGCGCCTGTTCCGGACATTGCACCCAACTTCTAGATTCTACGAGATCATGCGAGACCCGCGATTATCCATCTTTACTCTATTTAAATGTACCGATAACCATTTACACGGCTGTTGCGGTACCGTTTTCCAAAATTGTTTTAATTTCCGTACAAAAACAAAAAGTGGGTTACCACATGGTATGTCGCCTCTGCCTTTTCCATTCTCACCCGCGACTCCTCCAACTATACATCAACTTACTTCAACTGCTCCTACAACCGCCCACAATCCAATTTGAATCTTATTTTACATTCGACCTCCGAAGATCTGGCCGCTTCGCAATCTGCCAATTTCTTGGTCCAATCAACCAATTCGACTGCGTGCTTGCGGAGTACCTCCGCCAGACTCGACATGAGCTCCTCCGCGCGTTGCAACTCCTTACCATGAGCATCAGTGAGCTTCGCAATCCTGCCTCGAAGTTCCACTTGCTCAGTTTTCGTCGCAGCAATCTGAACTCGAAGATCTTCGGCTATCCGTTACTCTTCGGCTCTTTGCTCTTTCTCCTTCGCTAACTCCGCAATATGCAATTGATCGCATTTCACCGAAGCCACAGTCAATTCCTCCACGCGTTGCACTTCCGCAGGGCATGCCACCTTGGATGACTCTAATATCTCACATAGCTTCATTGTTACCTTCTGTACATTCGCATTGGAAGCCCGAAGATTAATACAATCTTGCTCTAACGACACACGTAGTTTAGTCTCCTTGGCTAAGTTCAGCCAAAAAACTTTGCACTCCATCTCCTTTGCCCGAAGATGATCTTCTCGCTCCTACAATGTCGCCCTCATGATCACGCACTCGACTGTAAAGCTCACAACTCGTTTCTTCGCCACTGCACTTGCGGACTCCCACTCCCTCTTCATCTCTACTGCATTCTGGGTTCTATTCCTTACTAGCTCTATATAGAAACCTGATTCTTTCTCCATAACATACTTCTCTCTCTTCTTATCTAAATACTTCAGTAGGGGATTACACTATACTGCAGGAAATCGGAAAAGTAAACAATTGACTCTTTTGATTACTCCTCCACAACCTTCTTCCCTACTTCTGGTCTTACCTCTTCCTCAGGTGATGGGGGCGATGCAATTTCGAGAACCTCTACCACTAATCCACCAACCTGTGCCACTACTTGCTTGAGTATATCCTCACTTAGTGTAAGATCCCTCGCCATCTCCTCACTCGACTTCGGTTGTGGTACTTCCTCACTCCCCATGGATCATGTTTGCTCCGAAGGTAGAAGACTTAGACTAACCGTCTCCGTCCTTTCCTCCGAAGGTTTCACTCCTACTTTCATCAGGACTTCAGCTTGTACCGCCAAAGGTTCTCCTTCCACTACCCAAAGATTACGCTACTCCCTCTTCTCTTTGTCTATCGTTCTGCAGCGGGGCAGCTGCATCCGTCTTCGCCACACTGCTATTTGAAGAATCAGATACAACTCTCTCACAATTTGCTTTCTTCTTTGGCCTCGCTCGGGTCTTTGACGACCTGATTTCCGTCACCTGGGTCTTCCCCATCCGCGACTCCGGTCTTCAGCCTTCCCCACTGTCGGCGATTATCTTCCGTCTCTTCGCCGATCTCCTCTCTAACTGTTCCCTAATCGCGACGACGTCCACATGAACTGGCTCGCGTGCTGTCCGTCGAGGTGGCTCTTCGGGTTGAACATTGTCCTCCTCGTCTGTCTCCTCGCTGGATTCAACTGCTAGTATCTCCCGTTCCTTCAAGAATCGCTTCTCTTCCTCCTTCATGAGTAACCTCATCCCTCGATAGAAGTTCACTAAGTAAGAGGTTATGTGATTAATCAAACCACTCTTTCACCGGGTGCTGACATTGGTACAGATTAAGTCTTGGAAGATCTTTGCCCAATGAATTTCCTTTAATTCGTGCTCGAAGAAGCCGACCTGCCAAGCAGTGACGTAGGTCGTGCGCTGCGATCTTAGAATATGCATTATCCCTAACGCGATCGCACACCTCTTCAGATCCTTGTAATCTGTTGTCTTCCACCCATTTGTCCCCGACTTCGTGTTCTTGAAGAGTGGAGCGAAGGTAAATTCCTCTGCGCGCGTAATCTTGACACTCTCCTTCTCGAACATGAAGTCGTCATCTTCCCCTGCGCACGGTCCTAGAATCTTCGTCCAATGATCGATTGTTCACAACATCGGATTGCCTCGGAAATCA